GTGTAGTGTTGAAGCTGTGTTTAGCTTGTATAGTGATGAAGCTGTGTATAGCTGGTATAGTGTTGAAGCTGTGTTTAGCTGGTATAGTGTTGAAGCTGTGTATAGCTGGTGTAGTGTTGAAGCTGTGTATAGCTGGTGTAGTGTTTAAGCTGTGTACAGCTGGTGTAGTGTTGAAGCTGTTTATAGCTTGTATAGTGATGAAGCTGTGTATAGCTGGTATAGTGTTGAAGCTGTGTATAGCTGGTGTAGTGTTGAAGCTGTGTACAGCTTGTGTAATGTTGAAGCTGTGTATAACTGGTACAGTGTTGAAGCTGTGTATCGCTGCTATATTGTTGAAGCTGTGTATCGTTGGTATAGTGTTGAAAATGTGTATAGCTAGTGTAGTGTTGGAGCTGTATATAGCTGGTATTATGTTGAGGGCTTAAGGCTTTGGGTTTTTTTCACCTCTTTAAATAAGAAATACACTGTAGATAGGACTCCTTTTTCTAAATACGTTGGTTACAAAGTGTGAAGCCCATTTCTGGTTTATTAACTGTATATCGTATAACCAATCATATATGCCTGGTATATAATAAAACATGCAGATGCAGTTTGATATATTTCTTGATATATAACTAAAACACGGATTATGTATAATATGCGGATGCATATTTGGTGCGCCTCGAGCGCCCGTGGGTGTTGTGGCGCGCCCCCTGCCGTTTATTCTCAGTACTTGGTTCAGTCATACTGGGAACTACCAGTTGCAACACAGGTTGGCGGAAATACAACCACATATATCCTGTGAATTTTATGACCGTTTTCCTTATGATCAGGTCCGTGTTGCAATTTTATTTTATTTTTGTTGTTTCCTTAAGATGTCACAGACAGTGACGACAATTACCGATCGTCGCACGGCTCCACGTACCGTCCACGTATTTACGCAGCGTGTTTAGAAAACAAGGCTCTAATTTCTATGCAGCTTTGCCTCCTCGTGACAGCTTTGTCCACCGATGTTTTATGCCGCATTAACAAGTGCACGGCATTCGAGTTGGATGCCCTTCTTTTGAAAGAAGTATTGATGTTATAGGCATTTTAGAAAGTCTTCACATACGCCCCCACGCCTGATGTTTGCAATAAGTCTTTTGGGCTTTGGGGTTGTTGGTGGTCGTGTTGGTGCAGCGGTTATTTGCGGTTGTGTCGGTGCGGCGGTTATTAGGGCTGTGTTAGTGCAGCGGTTATTGGCGGTTGTGTCGGTGCGGCGGTTATTGGCAGTTATGTCGGTGCAGTGGGTATTAGGGCTGTGTTGGTGCAGCTGTTATCAAGGGCTGTGTTGGTACAGCGGTTGTTGTTGTGTTGGTGCAGCGGTTATTAGCGGTTGTGTCGGTGCCGCGGTTATTGGAGGTTGTGTTGATGCGGCGGTTATTGGTGGTTGTGTTGGTACAGCGGTTGTTGTTGTGTTGGTGCAGCGGTTATTAGCGGTTGTGTTGGTGCCGCGGTTATTGGAGGTTGTGTTGATGCGGCGGTTATTGGTGGTTGTGTTGGTACAGCGGTTATTGGAGGTTGTGTTGGTACAGCGGTTGTGGTGGTGCAGCGGTTATTGGAGGTTGTGTTGGTGCAGCTGTTGTTGGTGGTTGTGTTGGTACAGCGGTTGTGGTGGTGCAGCGGTTATTGGAGGTTGTGTTGGTGCAGCTGTTGTTGGTGGTTGTGTAGGTACAGCGGTTGTTGTTGTGTTGGTGCAGCGGTTATTAGCGGTTGTGTTGGTGCAGCTGTTGTTGGTGGTTGTGTAGGTACAGCGGTTGTTGTTGTGTTGGTGCAGCGGTTATTAGCGGTTGTGTTGGTGCTGCGGTTATTGGAGGTTGTGTTGATGCGGCGGTTGTTGGAGGTTGTGTTGGTACAGCGGTTGTTGTTGTGTTGGTGCAGCGGTTATTAGCGGTTGTGTTGGTGCTGCGGTTATTGGAGGTTGTGTTGATGCGGCGGTTGTTGGTGGTTGTGTTGGTACAGCGGTTGTGATGGTGCAGCGGTTATTGGAGGTTGTGTTGGTGCAGCTGTTGTTGGTGGTTGTGTTGGTACAGCGGTTGTGGTGGTGCAGCGGTTATTGGAGGTTGTGTTGGTGCAGCTGTTGTTGGTGGTTGTGTTGGTACAGCGGTTGTGTTGATGCAGCGGTTATTGGAGGTTGTGTTGGTAAAGCGGTTGTTGTTGTGTTGGTGCAGCGGTTATTAAGGGTTGTGTTAGTGGAGCAAATGTCCTGACCACTCGGGTCGCCCTTTAGATCGTCCTGGTCGAGTACAGAGTATACGTATAAGTGTGTTGGATCAATCTTGCTCGGACTGCCCATTTCCAGTGACTAGGTACAAAGGATAACTGCAGGGACACAGGGGTAGTTACGACTTTGTTTTATGGGAACGAATGTAGATTAACCCAATAAGGGGACAGCTGTCAACACACACTAGCTTCCTGGTACAGCAGCTAACTTTCCCTTCCCATTCCACACAGCAGCTGTATGATGTAAATGCGCATTAAGTTCAGATTACCGTAGTTCCTTTAATAGTCTCACCGCCGTCATATAGCTGGAATATTGCTGAGTGTGGCGTTAAACAACAAATAACAACTATAATAGTCGCCGGGTCTCCGTTATAACGACGGGTCAAAATCAAATTGGAGGCGTATTCAATACTGGCTGGTCTCTAGTTGACGCCGGGTTTACAATAAAAACCACTCGAAAGACGTGTGGTCTCCGACCCTTGACCATCCTGGTGGAGAGGTCTTCAGCAACCCATGCTTGTCGTAAAGGCGACTACGCTTGTCGTAAGAGGCGACTAACGGGATCGAGTGGTCAGGCTCGCTGACTTGGTTGATGCATGTCATCGTATTCCAATTGCGTAGATCGATGCTCATGATATCAATCACTGGATTGTCTGGTCCAGACTCGAATATTGCTGAGTGCGGCGTTAAACAACAAACAAACAAACAGTCGGGCCTCCAATAGACTGCACATCAAGTTCAGAATACCCTATTTCCTTTAAGAAAGGCCTGATCTCCGATAAACGACGGGACAAAACTAAATTGGGAGAATAGCGGTTGCTCTCTAATCGACTTGTCGTGTTTGCAATATTATAATGTCCGAAAATACACACACCGGGGTAACTTGACGTGACGCTGCTGCTGACAATTTCATATTGACATTGTAAAGTCATTGTGCATGTCAGTAGAAACAGAACACCGGAATACCTTCTTTATTTTTTCGAGATGAGGAAGTCGCTCAGAAAAAATAAAATAATATCATTTGACGCTTTCAAAGTCAACATCAATGACACGCGAAGTGTATGGGTTTCAACTTCTGTAATCTTAGTACACAATGACTGAAATCCATATAACTTTGTCTGTGAAGTAACAAGTTCTAAATGCCTACCAAAGACACCAAAATTCATTATTTGAGTGAGTGAATGAGAGAGTGGGTTGGGTTTAACACTGCTTTGATCGGTATATTCGATAATACGTACAGGTAAACAAATACGTATATTATACGTATATTATACGTACATAAATACACGCATGTGTTTACGCATTTGTTACATTAGTTTTTTGCCTGTACCAAAAACCGGAAGTTATTTCTTTCAACACATTCTCGGACAGTTGAGGGGGGCTAGTTGTTTAATACCCTGTGCAAAGTTGCGTCCCTTGGGAACGCCAGAGACGCCATGATCGTGGGATCGAATCCCGGTTCGCCCCGATTTTATTTCTAGATTTGTCAGTAGCTTAACCGTGGTAAGTGGTAAACGACATGGACCTGCATCACTTCGGGTTTTCCTCCAATACCAAGCTGACACGCCGTGATATAACTGGAATACTGTTCAAAGCGGCGTTAAACCTAAAATACTCACTCGCTCTGCCAGATGAGGGAGATTGCGTGTTGGGTTGAATAATATCCCAGTTACATCCCGGCGTGACGGAGGATGCGAGAGGAGAGCCGGAAGTTACTTTTTACCAGTGTTGTGAACAAGCACACGTGTTGTGCTGACAAACCAACTATATTCTAGACGGGGCGGTGGGGTACTCTAGTTGTTAAAACGTTCGCTTGTCACGCCAAAGACCCGGGTTCGATTCCCCACATGGGTATAATGTGTGAAGCCCATTTCTGGTGTCTCCCACCGCGATATTGCTTGAATATTGCTAAAAGCGGCGTAAAACCATACTCACTCACTTACTAAGCGAAGCTGGGGTTCGAATTCACTACCAAGATTCGAATGCAACATTGGGAGTTTTTTGCGGGACAAAGGAATACAAAGGGGTTGAATTGTGAAAAAAAGATTAAGTCAATAAAAAGTGGACGAGTTGCGCTCCTTAATGGGATAGTTTCGGCGTTGGAGCACGGCGACATATTTTTATATATTACCCGAACATAACAAGGTGTTTTACAACATTGGAGATATCAACATGACATGACCTACTTTGGAATGTCACCGTGACATTTTGTACTGGCTCTGAGTATATCTATGCATTTATTCATAAATCATAAGTAGCCAGTATGAGGAAAGACTGCAGGTGTGAGAGATTTGTGTTTTGTAGGGGGGAGGGACAGTATTGGGGACGGGGGTGTTACACTAACAGTTACATTTTTTTGGTGCCAACTATGAACACAGAACAATAAATTACGTTTGTAACAAACACGCTTACAACGAACCTCCGGAAAACGAACTATTTTTTGGCCCCGTCCATTTGTTGTATATTTGTTTTACATATGCTTATAACGAACTACGGTTAAAACGAATTAAAATTAGTGGTTTCCTTGAGTTCGTTATAGCCGTAGTTTACTTACTCTCATGTGGTGTTGAACTACGCTGCAGCATCTACTATTCAACACTCTCAATTGGAAGGTTGTGTGTTGCCATGGAGATTAATAACATTGCAGAGAGTCCATGCTCCCAGGTTCCTGTCACCCGGTGATAATAGAATGGAGATATAATACCCTGGTTAATAGAAGATGTTAGCTACCATTCATGACGTTAACCATTTACTTACAGTACCACCACCCTGCTCTTACTCACCCTTTCCTACAATCCCGCCGCCAGATGCCGCTTCGGGCTTCGGTCGCCATATCACGTGTCCACAGCTGAAACAACCTCCGCCAGGTAGAGCTGCTTTTCTTTTTGGTTTTCAATCTGATAACGGAGCAGCGGGGTAGCCTAGTGGTTAACGCGTTCGATCGTCACGCCAAAGTCCCGGTTCAATTCCCACATGGTTACACCTATAGGGGGCACGGGTGGCCCAGTCGTCTAAGGCGCCGCGATTCGCTGTGCAGAGTTGCGTCCCTTGGGCACGCCAGAAACCTATGCTTGTGGGTTCAAATCCCGGTTGGCCCCGATTATGTTTCTAGGTTTGTCAGCACCATACCCATGCTCGTGGGTTTCACCGAAGTGGTAAACGTCTGAGACCTGCATCACTTCGGACACGCCATGATATGACTGGAATACTGTTAAAAGCGGTGTGAAACCCAACTCACACACTCACTCACTGGTTACACCTATGTGTTAAGTCGATTTTTGGTGTCCTTCGTCGCAGTATAGCTGGAATATTGCTAAAGCGACTCAGTGGCTTATTCTGATAACGTGGGATTTATCAGGGTTATTTCACAAAATTTTCACAAGCACATCCAATGTTGAATCTATGTTCAGAGTTGCGTCCCTTTGTCTTGCCAGGATGTGCTGATCGTGGGTTCAAATGCCAGATTCGATCTGATAATGATGGTTTGTCAGCAGTATAGCCATGCTGGAAGATTTTGTGACAGATGAAAAAGCCACCCACCTGCGTCAGTTCAGGCTTGCCTCCATATTAAGCTCACATGCCGTCACAGAACTGAGATACTTTTCAAAGCAAAGTTAACCAAACTCACTCACTTCTTTGTCGTTTCAGCAGCCCTGGTACACAACCAGGAACACCGAACAAATGGCATCCTCCTTCTGACAGACAGCCCTGCAAACTGCAGCATGCAACCAACATTCAGCACGGACAAGCCGCACAAGTCCTACATCCCCATCCTACCTGGGCCTGTGACGTCATATCCGTCCCCGTTGCCACCACATAAAGATCTCAGCCCTAAAGTCCACATTCCAGGTAGTCGTAGAGGATGGTTTCTGTTGTGCATCCTCACGCCCAGCACTGCTCCTTGCAACAAGCTCCCGTTGAAGGTCAAATACATTGGGGATGTAGGGGTTTATGGGTTAGGGTACGTCGAGCAGATCTCTTAATGTATTTCATTAGTGGTTGGTATGGTACAGAAAATACAGAATAGGGCTCAGGGACATTATTGAAGCTGTTGAAGTATGTTTCGAGTTGTCCGCCTTTACGTGTCTGACACTAGATTTCACAAGTCTCCTGACCTTCGCGGCAGTTCATCCAAGTCAGGACCTTGGTGTCGGGACCTCCGCGCCTGGGTCTTCACATCAGGAACTTCACATCCACACCTCACGTCTTGTGCCAACGCGTCAGGACCTTCACATCAGTAAATCCGCGTCAGGACCCCGCGTTAGTGCCTCCGCGTCCAGACCTACACATCAGGATCTCCGCGTCAGGACCTTCACATCCAGTACCTCCGCGTCTGGACCTTCACCTTAGTACCACCGCGTCGGGACCTTCACATCCAGTACCACCGCGTCAGGACCTTCACATCAGTACCTCCGCGTCAGGACCTTCACATCAGTACCTCCGCGTCAGGACCTTCACATCAGTACCTCCGCGTCAGGACCTCTGCATGAACAAAAATAGCTTTTAGCTTGGAAACAACTGCAACCTGTGCAAGGATGCAAGTTAATCAAAGAAAGCCATATTACGTTCTTGATCGATCTATTCAAACACTGTTATTTTACTTACCGGGGGCGGTAGGGTAGCCTAGTGGTAAAAGCGTTCGCTCGTCACGCCGAAGACCCGTGTTCGAGTCCCGATATGGGTACAATGTGTGATGCCCATTTTCTGGTGTCCCTCGCCGTGATATTGCTTGAATATTGCTAAAAGCGGCGTAAAACCATACTCACTCACTCACTCACTCACTAATTACCCGGGAGGCCTAGCACATCTTTATGCTTTGAGTCCACAGCACACTTCGGTCAGGGCCCCGTCCCTGAAGCGATAGTAGCGAAATTTCCACACTCTAACCCAGACTTACGGTGACCCAAAGGTCGTTTTTTGGGCCCCGGCCCAATGTTATTACCGTATTCGACCTAATAAACGCCCAGGGCGCTCTCAAAATTAGAAATAGGGGGCTCTTATTAGAATAAAGTTTTAGTGAAAAAAAAACAGAGTTGAAATATCGTAAATTCCGTGGTTGATGCTGACAGCCTGAATGATACAAGAGAATTATACACGACAGATATATTTTCCGGAATTGAATTGCCCATAATTAAGGGTGCATATAACACACGAGTGCGTATTATACACGAATAAATAAATCTTGTGTACATTAATCAATCGGAAGGGTGCTAATTGGGATTGTTCACTAGCCATGCAAGATATTAGCAAATATCGCCGTGGGCGCTTATTACGTCGAATACGGTATTATTAAAATTGGTTTCTAAGGTCTGTTCGAACAACCAGGAACAACGCTTTAAAGCCTAGACACTTTCATAATTGAATCTGTTAACATTTCAAATGGCAAAAAAGTGCAGCTATCCATGCTGACATAGAGCACACGGTCAATGGAATATACAGAATAATCCATGAATAGGATATACATAGGCTCGACATGTTAATAACAGTAGACTTCCTGGTTTGTTAAAGAGGCTTGTTCTGTTACAGAGAGCGTGTTGAGTCCTGCCTTAACCAACACGGACACAGACAGTGCCTTGTCAGACACAGAGTCGCCCCCTGAAGGTAGGATTAAAGGGGTACTTCGAGGTGGTTTCTTAGGGACTTTTGTAGTCAGCTATATCAATGGTACCACGGTGTAGATCTACATTCAGCTCCCATGCGAGCTTCATATATTGTCAAAAGACTGTTCTAAAAGATAGTTTAGCTTGAAAAGATGTTTCCCCGAGTACTGAGATAGGTTGGTTGGATGGTTTGTTGTTTAACGCCGCACTCAGCAATATTCCAGCTGTATGACGGCGGTCTGTAAATAGTCAAGTCTGGACCAGACAACCCAGTGATTAATATCATGAGCATCGATCCACGCAATTTGGATCAACCAAGTCAGCGAGCCTGACCACCCAATCCCGTTAGTCGTCTCTTACGACATACATAGTCACCTTTTACGGCAAGCATGGGTTGCTGAAGACCTATTCTACCCCGGAATCTTCACGGGTCTACTGAGATAATTCCTAATGCCACAAGACGTTTCGGTTCTATCTGTGACGACACGCAACACTCGAGTCGAGTACTGTATATATCGCTGCTTGCGCAAATGATGAAGGAGTGTCATTTGATTTGACACTTATTTTTAGTGTCGTGTCATTCGCACCACACTCAACTCGAAGCGAATGGGTACTAGAAATTTATCATGATAGTGAGTGAGTATTGTTTTACGCCGCTTTAGCAATATTCCAGCAATATCACGGCGGGGGACACCAGAAAATGGTTATCATGATAGAATAGAAACATTTGGACAGTCGATGATGGCTGTGGATAGATATGGTTGAAAGCAGGGGTATCATTATGTAGTGAACGCCAATACCGAGCCCCGTGAAATCATTGTCCGGATTAACAATTGTCCGGATTAACGCATCACTGCTACGTAATGGGACCCTTTAATTAGTTACACATGGTCAACACTTATTGTCCGGATTACGGAATGTCTGTACAAACGGGGTCCGGATTCACGAAGTTTCACTGTATACACTATAAAGTACCTATAGGCCGCGTGTTGGTCCTTAGTCCCTATGTACTGTAAAAACTCCGTGAAGATCCGGGTTAGAATTTGTCTTCAGCAACCGTGTTCGTCGTAAGAGGCGACTCACGGGATCGGGTGGTCCAGTCCAGTAATATCACGACGTGTCAGCTTTATGTGGGAGGAAAGCCCGAAGTGATGCAGGTCTTAGACGTTTACCACTTCGGTGAAACCCACGAGCACCGGTATGGTGCTGACAAACATAGAAACATGATCGGGGCGAACCGGGATTCGAACCCACAATCATAGGTTTCTGGCGTGTCCAAGGAACGCAACTCTGCACAGTTGTGACAGAGAAAACCGACATTGCGACAGTCAGACCGACCTTTATGACAGCGAGACCGACACGTGCGAAGGTGAGATCGACAGCTCTGACAATGAGATCGACATGTGCGACAATGCGGTCGCATTTTCATTAGTTGTTGCAAAGTCATTTGATACCGTGTGTTTTTGTTTTATTAATGACTGATTTTGTCTTTATCAGACATTTTGTTGCATTACAGGCGATGAGGAAATGGAATACCGAGAGGAACTTGAGAATCATATACACCAATCATCAGAGGGCTCCATATCACGTGACGTGTCAGCTGATCTCAACATGCCCCACCTTAAGAAAGGCGAAGGAGGTAAGATGAGAGTACCAATGTCCTCTTCTGTCCTCAGACTGCAGGTTGTTATGAAGTACCAATGTCCTCTTCTGTCCTCAGACTGCAGGTTGTTATGGGAGTACCAATGTCCTCTTCTGTCCTCAGACTACAGGTTGTTATGGGAGTACCAATGTCCTCTTCTGTCCTCAGACTGCAGGTTACTACTAGAGTAACAATATCCTCTTCTGTCCTCAGACTGCAGGTTACTATGGGAGTAACAATGTCCTCTTCTGTCCTCAGACTGCAGGTTGTTATGGGAGTCACAGTGTCCTCTTCTGTCCTCAGGCTGCAGGTTACTATGGGAGTCACAATGTCTTCTTCTGTCCTCAGACTGCAGGTTACTACGGGAGTCACAATGTCCTCTTCTGTCCTCAGACTGCAGGTTACTATGGGAGTAACCATATCCTCTTCTGTCCTCAGACTGCATGTTGTTATGAAGTACCAATGTCCCCTTCTGTCCTCAGACTGCAGGTTGTTATGGGAGTAACAATGTCCTCTTCTGTCCTCAGACTGCGGGTTACTATGGGAGTAACAATGTCCTCTTCTGTCCTCAGACTGCAGGTTACAACGGGAGTAACCATGTCCTCTTCTGTCCTCAGACAGCAGGTTACTATGGGAGTACCAATGTCCCCTTCTGTCCTCAGACTACAGGTTGTTATGGAGTACCAATGTCCTCTTCTGTCCTCAGACTTCAGGTTGTTATGGAGTACCAATGTCCTCTTCTGTCCTCAGACTGCAGGTTACTATGGGAGTAACAATGTCCTCTTCTGTCCTCAGACTGCAGGTTACTATGGGAGTAACAATGTCCTCTTCTGTCCTCAGACTGCAGGTTGTAATGGGAGTACCAATGTCCTCTTCTGTCTTAGACGACAGGTTGTTATGGAGTACCAATGTCCTCTTCTGTCCTCAGACTGCAGGTTGTTATGGGAGTACCAATGTCCTCTTCTGTCCTCAGACTGCAGGTTGTTATCGAGTACCAATGTCCTCTTCTGTCCTCAGACTGCGGGTTACTATGGGAGTAACAATGTCCTCTTCTGTCCTCAGACTGCAGGTTGTTATGGGAGTAACAATGTCCTTTTCTGTCCTCAGACTGCAGGTTACAACGGGAGTAACCATGTCCTCTTCTGTCCTCAGACAGCAGGTTACAATGCGAGTAACCATGTCCTCTTCTGTCCTCAGACTGTGGGTTACTATGGGAGTAACCATGTCCCCTTCTGTCCTCAGACTGCAGGTTACTATGGGAGTAACAATGTCCTCTTCTGTCCTCAGACTGCAGGTTACTATGGGAGTAACAATGTCCTCTTCTGTCCTCAGACTGCAGGTTACTATGGGAGTCACAATGTCCTCTTCTGTCCTCAGACTGCTGGTTACTATGGGAGAAACAATGTCCTCTTCTGTCCTCAGACTGCAGGTTGTTATGGGAGTAACAATGTTCTCTTCTGTCCTCAGACTGCAGGTTACTATGGGAGTAACAATGTCTTCTGTCCTCAGACTGCAGGTTACTATGGGAGTAACAATGTTCTCTTCTGTCCTCAGACTGCAGGTTACTTTGGGAGTAACAATGTTCTCTTCTGTCCTCAGACTGCAGGTTACTTTGGGAGTAACCATGTCCTCTTCTGTCCTCAGACTGCAGGTTACTATGGGAGTTACAATGTTCTCTTCTGTCCTCAGACTGCAGGTTACTATGGGAGTAACAATGTTCTCTTCTGTCCTCAGACTGCAGGTTACTATGGGAGTAACAATGTCTTCTGTCCTCAGACTGCAGGTTACTATGGGAGTAACAATGTTCTCTTCTGTCCTCAGACTGCAGGTTACTATGGGAGTAACAATGTCTTCTGTCCTCAGACTGCAGGTTACTACGGGAGTCACAATGTCCTCTTCTGTCCTCAGACTGCAGGTTACTATGGGAGTAACAATGTCTTCTGTCCTCAGACTGCGGGTTACTATGGGAGTAACAATGTTCTCTTCTGTCCTCAGACTGCAGGTTACTATGGGAGTTACAATGTCTTCTGTCCTCAGACTGCAGGTTACTATGGGAGTTACAATGTCTTCTGTCCTCAGACTGCGGGTTACTATGGGAGTTACAATGTCTTCTGTCCTCAGACTGCAGGTTACTATGGGAGTAACAATGTCTTCTGTCCTCAGACTGCAGGTTACTATGGGAGTAACAATGTCTTCTGTCCTCAGACTGCGGGTTACTATGGGAGTTACAATGTCTTCTGTCCTCAGACTGCAGGTTACTATGGGAGTAACAATGTCTTCTGTCCTCAGACTGCAGGTTACTATGGGAGTAACAATGTCTTCTGTCCTCAGACTGCGGGTTACTATGGGAGTAACAATGTTCTCTTCTGTCCTCAGACTGCAGGTTACTATGGGAGTAACAATGTTCTCTTCTGTCCTCAGACTGCAGGTTACTATGGGAGTAACAATGTTCTCTTCTGTCCTCAGACTGCAGGTTACTTTGGGAGTAACAATGTTCTCTTCTGTCCTCAGACTGCAGGTTACTTTGGGAGTAACAATGTCTTCTGTCCTCAGACTGCAGGTTGTTATGGGAGTCACAATGTCCTCTTCTGTCCTCAGACTGCAGGTTGTTTTGGGAGTCACAATGTCCTCTTCTGTCCTCAGACTGCAGGTTGTTATGGGAGTTCATCCACCAGCTGCTGCTGGACCCCAAGTACCGGGACTACGTGAGCTGGGAGAAGCAGGAGGAGCTGATATTCCGCATCATCAACCCGACCGGCCTGGCCGAGCTGTGGGGGTACCAGAAGAACAGGACCAACATGACGTACGAGAAGCTATCCCGTGCCCTGCGCTACTACTACAAGATGAACATCATCAAGAAGGTGCAAGGGAAACGACTCACATACCAGTATGTATTAGTCTATTTTGCTCTGAATGACAGTACACTGCTTATATGTGGGTGGGTAGGGGTAGCCTAGCAGTTGAAGAGTTTGCTTGTCAAAGCAAAGGCCTGGGTAATATTCCCAACATGAGCACAATGTGTGAAGACCATTTCTGGAGCTCCCCTCCCCTCCCCTGATGTTACTGGAATATTGCAAAGGCTGTCGAAAAACACATTTATAACACTTTAACCACCATGCTACTCCAACGACAGAAATTGTATGCCACAAAAATTACATGTGGCAACGTGCTTTCTATGAAACAATATTCAGGGCCATAGTTTTAATTTTGAAAAGATGTGGTTTTGCAGCTGTAACTGAAAAAAATCTTACCTCCCGACAAAATCCCAAACCACCCCCCCCACCACCCCCCACCCCGCATCCCTCACTCCACCCCATCCAGAACAGAAAATGTTTGTCCCTAACCTCCCAATACTGCTGTTCCTCTTGGAGAAAATGTTTTTATTGTAAGAACTAACATCCTTGTTTTAAGAGATAATATTTTTATGAGATAACCATTTTCTAACAGTGCCTTTACTTGGGATTGAGCTTTCTTGATTAATGTTTTTAGATTTTTTTCTTTGGAAAAGGCTGCGTACAAAGCCTCTCGGTTTTTTTTGGTCAAAAATTGAAGGGACATTAGAGGTGTACATCTATTTGATTCTACCACATCTTACTTCCATTCATTCCAGATTTCTTCAGCATCCTCGGAATATCAAGAAAGGTCAGAGAGGAGCTAGGCCCCATTCTGCCAGAGTTACCCAACAGGAGCCCAATAACCCCACACCTCAACCAATCAAACACGAGCCTCACAACGAGGCTGTGACTCCGGCAAGCAATGACATTCATTCTGTGGACCAGCCTCCAATCAGAAGTCCAGTAATCGAAGCCTATGACAATTACGACAGCCAGTGTGATTTACAACTAATTGACGGTCGTTTGAGACCAACCATCGACGATGACGAGGACGGGGACAGATTTGAAGGACTCGACGACCACACGGTCCCATATGTCAAACAGGAAGGTATGAGTGCGCCGGTGCAAGACGAACCGGAAGACTTGTCAATGAAAACGCTCTTTAGCAAAAGAGGGCCAGATTCAGCAGATTACGTAAATGATGAGCACTTTGAGACGCACATAAAACTGGAAGTGGCAAGCTGACACGGGTGTTGAACTGGGTATTTTTTCCCTACGAACGTGTTGAAAAGGAAAGAACAATTTGGCAGTATAAATTACGAATGAGCTGAAGACATGGAAATGGATTCACCAACGTAGACCTCTTCACCAATAAGGACGAACATGAGACTCAGGTTTCAGACTGACAATTGGTGTATTTAAGAAATTGTCAAGCTATTCACATGCGCTTGGTGAATGCCTATGATTCCTGACAATAAGTTTATTTCAACCAGTGACATGATCGAAAATGTTGTTGTTATTGTTGTCGTTGTCATAAACATAATTTAGATTGTTTTTATCTGGATGTGATAGTTGGGGTATGTTTTCTAAACTGGGTCCGAGTCGATGAATGGGTTCGTGTTTGTGATATAAGAGAAATGGCTTCTTCATTACGAAGACTGAATATACCAGTATGCAGATAATGTATCCAGGTGTGGCTTAACCGTTGCACGTATGTTATGGAAACTTATTGGCACGATTCATGCAACCTTTAGCCATTTGTAAATACCAAAGGTAGCTATTAAAAGTGTACTTAAGAACCATCCACACATGTTCATAGTCTTCAGGTACAAATACAGTGTATTATATACACTGTCGGACTTCTAGTGATCTCGGCATTAGCTATTACACAGATGAGGGAGGGGCATGGAATCCAAGTCGTCTGAGGCGCCAAATGTTCGATGTGCACAGCTACGTTCCTTAATTTGGGGTATAAGAATCCCATAATCGAGGGTTCGACTCCTATAGTTACACTGATTTGTCAGGACCACACCTCTCTCTCTCTCTCTCTCTCTCTCTCTCTCTCTCTCTCTCTCTCTCTCTCTCTCTTTGTGTATCTTGAAGTAATGGCAGTATAACCTATATTTCCGTACTAAGAACTCTCTCTCTCTCTCTCTCTCTCTCTCTCTCTCTCTCTCTCTCTCTCTCTCTCTCTCTCTCCGACCATGGCTATGCAAGACATATGATAATAACACTGGACGACAAAATAAAAAACCATCGGGGTTTAATGAATTAATAAATACATTTGTTGCAATTAGGCGAACGAAACGCCCGTCCCCCACAGAAGAAACATATCTTTGTGAAACAGTATGAATACTTTTAACGTCAGGATTATTCACCATGACGTAACAATATTCAAAGGGAGAAGACTTCCCTTCAGTTAAATTAGATGTAGGTGAGTAGTATTTGTTTGTCTGTTTGTTGTTTAACGCCGCACTCAGCAATATTCCAGCTAATATGACGGCGGTCTGTAAATAATCGAGTCTGGCCCAGACAATCCAGTGATTGACATCATGAGCATCCATCGACGCAATTGGGATACGGTGACATGCACCAACCTAGTCAGCGAGCCTGACCACCCGATCCCGTTAGTCGCCTCTTTCGACAAGAATAGTCACCTTTTACGGCAAGCATGGGTAGAAGTACAGCAGTTTGTTACAGGCAGCAGGTGAAATCGGCCTTTATCCGGCGCCACCTACACCGGTTATATCATAGACATGTGCCTTCGATGGAATGAGCTAAACTGCTATTTTTGGTATATATACTGAACAAAACAAATTAGGGAACATGAAATATGTTTATTTGAGAAATATGAAATTGTGTTTTTTGTCTTCACCACAAAATATGTCCCCCAAAATATTCATGTTCCCTAACTTTTTTGTTCAGTATAATTCACACTGCATCGTACCAATTCTGTACCTGATATCTTTGAAACATTCCGACTGCGGATCATAAAAGTGACAGTAAACGATGCTTTGATTGGTCGGATGAAAGGTCGTTCTGACGTGACCTGTAATGGGATGACCTCAGATCTTTGTTTAGCGATATCGAGAACTAAGATCGTATTTTAATGAGATTGGAGTGATCAGTATATAATGTTAGGATACCTTAAATATGATAAGTGTGACATTCATATTGATTGAACAATACGTATTTTACCGTAGCGCTTCCTGGTTATAAATGTCGATCCGAGTGCTTTCATTCAGCTCTACATTCCGGTAGGACCGAATTCGGTGCCGAAATCGTGACCGGCCTTAACCCGGATGTCGCTCTAAGTTCGTATTATCCGAAGTCTGGGTGTAGTGAAATAGATTAAATAGTTCAACATTTCGACTTAGACGAAGTGTTTTAGGTTGACACTGACGTATACTTTGCAGGCAGGAACCGCTCAAATGGCATGTAATCTACTCCAGTGGTATGGAACTGTGTGATACATGATTATTTCTTCCATGACACTGGCTGTGTTTCAAAGCATTTAGGGAAACCACTCGTAGCAAAAAGTAGTTCTGATACGATGAAGGCATGCTGTCTTTATTATCATCGCGATCACGTCAGTCAGGATCCTCGTGAATCCCGTGTATTATATTTCCGCCATTGAATCGTTTCCAAATTGACGTCACCTCCCATCCACCATATCACGAACGTATCACAGAGTTCTTCTCGCTCATCATTTTTAATTTGATTGGACGGCTTTTTATAACGCCGTGGCCTTCAAAACGAGATGTAATACACTGGACAATCGAGGATGGCCAATCAAGTGTTATTTATTTTTTTATTTATTTTTTTATTATTATTTTTTTCTATGAACTCTATTACTTTAAGATTTGTGTCATCGTTGTCTTAAAGCGCATCTGGGCTAATATTGTATGGTACATTCCAGCAAGTGTATTATTCTGTATTATTGCAGGTGGATACAAGTCCTGTTTTTAGATCTAAAATCAGGATAATGTTCGGATAGATGGTGATATTTTGATTTTTTAACCATACAGTTGTCCAAACATCTTGTGTGCCGAAGAATGTGTGTTCTATCAGTTAAGGCAAGATTTGTTTTTATCTTCGTTTACGAACATTTTTGTGAAAATTACTGATCGTAGGGGGGAAAATGTAATAAAAATGTCATGTCAGATGGATTTTATTCAAAACGTTATCTGAATATGTAGACGGATGCGCAGTGTTTGTCTTATTATTGCCTTTAACAATATATGCATAAAACTATGCATGTTATTTTATGTCAGAAAAAAGCAGCGCTTGATTCGTTTTCTATTTTTCAACCTAGGAGGGTAGGCGGGCCCGTAAATCATTATCTTATCTTAAAAGATATCTCGACTTACATTGTGGGTCTTTAGCAATAGATTTAAGCATGGTGACTATTTAGAATAAGGTCGCAGGGGAATTTTTTTTAAAAAGACTAAAATTAGATGTCATGTTCTAATTTGCATTTATATGTGAACTTAGTTCAACTTAATGAAATCCTAAACAAACGGCATAATTCTACATGTAGAGTCACGTGACTGCAACAACACAAGAGTATTTAGGCTGTATTCAGGTGGCACCGTGACGTCACGGGTAATGTCACGTGATCGGTATCAGCGTGTATGCTTGTGGGGCCACAGGAAACTTGTTATTTGTTAGTCGGATTCGCCGCCATGTATTTTTCGAGACAAACAAAACATGTTTGGTGATATTATGAACAAAAAAACACACATTAAGCTACAAGATTACCTCTAATCTTGCACGAAATACTCCAAACATTAAACGTCATGAATAGTGCGTTGTTCTTTCGACTTGAGTAACAGACGCACATAGCACTGACGACTTTCTCGACCGACCATATTAGGAGGTCTGGTATTTCGTTTTCAATTTGTTCAAGAAAATACTCGAAAATCATTTTGCCTCAGGTTTGATGCACAGGGGTGCCCTCCCTCTTCAAAATCGTTGATCTGCCTCTGACACCACCTCCGACAAACAAGTAATCACTATGCACTGCCAATTTGGCGAAATTGAATCGTGTTAGATATATAATGTACAGTTGTAGATGTTGATGTTATTACCGCTATACAATGGAGCTTGTTAAATATGTATTTTCGAAATGTTACCTATTACCTAAAGAATAAAGATGATTTATCATAGAACTGTTGTTTGTTGTCTGACCAGACAAACCGGTGATTAACGTTATGACCACTGCTATTAACCACGTCAACGAGCCTGACCATCTGACCCTCGCCTCGCCTCTTACGACCAGCATGGTTTGCAGGGGAATAAGTCTAACCCGGTATTACCACGGGGTTGATACCACATAGGCCCGGGTGGTGGTGGTGGTGGTGAGGGGGGGGGGGGCGGGGGGGGGGGGAGCGGGTGTGCCGAAATATATATCGGAAGCGGTGAAAGATGTCCATGTTCATCTGCCAATATTATTAATCCCGTTGATTCAGAACCGTCTCGAGTAATAAGTCACGTGACAAAACTAAAAATCATATTAAATCTGAACTTATGCACATATAGGATATTATATTCCTGTTCATGTCATACTATGTTTTCGACCCGAGTGTCTAAATTCCGGTAATCCCCGAGCGAGAAAAGAGCCGGTAAATACCGGAATTTAGGCACGAGTGTCGTAAACATAGTATGACATGAACATGATGTGAGGTGAGGTGAAATGGGGGTTAACGTCGCGTCCAAGATTATTGCACTTATATAGCAACGTGCATGCACGTGTGTGTGTGGCTGCTTGTACTAGTCCGGACTGATGCCGATTTATAGTGCTAGCTCACTGAGATACCATGCCACAGTTTAACATGAATACCCAACTCAGACACAGTATACTGACTCCGAGCCGACCAGTCCTTGTCTTTAGCCCCTTAATGCTGAGCGCCAGACAAGTACCCATCTTTTAACGTCTTTTGGTATGACGCGGTCGGGGATCGACCTTCCCGCTCTCCAGGCGAACGCTCTACTACTAGACCGGTCGACATGAACATGAAGATAATGTTCTGTTTATTACCGAAGATGTCTACATACAGTGACGAATTTTAGTGTTTACCTATCAGGACAGCAGCGGAACCACAATTTGTCGAATGACATCAACAATCTTCAGCTATGACGACTTTTCTAGTGTGACGTCATTCCGACCTCACGTTACAATAAGATTAGAATGACGTCAGCAATGCCGTCCGGATGACGGAAACAATACACTGTTGTAGCCAGGTTTTTCCACGTAGCACCAAGCGCCATTACATGACTTTGGAACCGTTATCAGACACACGGGACAACACGTGACCTTCCCAGATCCGGTCGACCACGTATCACTACCAGAGCACATGATTCACAGGGCTACGTCACTTCCGTGGAAGAACCACGACGGCCGCGTCTACGTCTACGGCAATACCATGATTGTGCAGGATATCAGCCAAAACAGTGAGGAACCGATTACGCGCTGAAGGTATTCGCGCAAGACGACCACTTCGAGTAGTCATTTTAACGGACCTGCATCGTCGGCTGCGACGTCAATGGTGTCAAGGTCACTGTATGGTCACAACTGCGATGGAGACAAGTTTGGTTTAGTGACGAGTCACGTTTTATGCTTCGCCGTGCGGATGGTAGACGTCATGTTTACAGGCGTCGTGGGGAACGTTATGCACGAAAATGCATACAGGAAGTGGACAGATTTGGTGGTGGTAGTGTGATGTGGGCAGCCATCTCCTACACTGATAGAACAGACTTTAAAAACCTACAAAAAGCGCCTTAATTCAGGATCCTATGACTTTTGGTTATGGAGGTAGGACAAAATCAAATAGGGACTGGCGGCCATCTTGGATTTTGCCAATATGGCCGCCACAATAAGCGCCGGCTTTGGCGCCCTCCAAAACTTGATTAATTATGTTCTGGTCTCCACATGTGCCAAATTTGATGCTTGTAGACGCATCTGCACAGTACCTCATAATGGTTCCCCAAGGGCCTGGACTCTGGGGAATTTAACGGCACAACTGACAACAGTCTTTTTTCAGGAATCAGAACATCCAGGTCCTGCCATGGTCCGCCAGGTCTCAAGATTTAAAACTTAATCAAACATTCATTGGATGCACTGGATCAAGCACTGCCGGCAGAGTGGATGAACATTCCCCTGGCCACAACTGCCGGATTGCTTCCATGAGTCAATGATGCCAGTCAGTTTTGGACTCTAAATGGTGGCCATACAAAAATCTTGAAGATATTGAGAACAGATGACCTTCAAATTGGAAATCTACTTTTCCGTGTGTGCCATATGGAACCTGGGTCAATGAGTGAGTGAGTGAGTGAGTTGGTTTTTACGCCGTTTTTAACAGTATTCCAGTTATAACACGGCGTGTCAGCTTAATGTGGGAGGAAAGCCCGAAGTGATGCAGGTCCCAGACGTTTACCACTTCGGTGAACCCACGAGTACGGGTATGGTGCTGACAAACCTAGAAACATAATCGGGGCGAACCGGGATTCGAACCCACAATCATAGGTTTCTGGTGTGCCCAAGGGACGCAACTCTACACAGAATCGCGGCGCCTTAGACGACTGGGTCACCCGTGCCCCCCCCCCCCCCCCCCCCCCCCCCTGGGTCAATGACAATGATGTGTGCCAATTTTGAATGTTACCACCTGTTGATTATTTATATGATATATAAAATACACTTTAAATCACTTTTATCTTTCTTTTTTTGCAGAGTATATACAGAAATCCTGTCGGCTATATCAAAAGTGGGGGCACTCCCAACACACGCACACACACACACACACACACACACACACACACACACACACACCCCTACCCACATTAATAGGGGATCTTAGATTAAAACCTAAGGCATAGTTGGTTGCAACCTGGGACACATTCAAGTTCAAGTTTCAATTTCATAAGCCTGGTGGTTTTAGACGGACAGACAGACAGACGGTGACCTGTGACAGCCACACCTTCAGTTCAGTTCTACTTCAGAGTAAACAATATACATATGCACAATTGGAAGGCTGTGTTGCAATACCTACCAACCATGACAGATTAACTGTTTATATATATATACGACTGAAAACAAGTTGAAAAACACCTTCAACTGGATGGGTGTGTGTTGCAATACTGTTTATACATATATATATATATACGACTGAAAACAAGTTGAAAAAACACCTATAACTGGATGGGTGTGTGTTGCAATACCCACCAGCCATGACAGATTAATTATACAGTGTTCCCTCGTTATTGCGCCCTTCAATAGGGCTTTAGAACAGGCTGAGGTTGAGAGTCCTGCATTTCAACTGTTCAATGATTATGTCGTGTCAAACTGGGTTGGGGATGATGCTAGATTTGGTGTTGAAATCTGGAGTCAAGAGTCAATGTTGGTCCAAGAACTAATAAAACACCAGACATCTAGCCCAGCCAAGAGAAAATATGTGTACCTCGATGGTCAGCTGTCCAGACTCCGAGACAGACACCAGCAAGGAGAAATATCTTCCTTGGCATTAGCAGATGCAGTAGGAATCCTTATTAACTTACATTAAAAAGATTCTGTTAGCTTGTATTTCTCTGTTGGACTGGTTCATTTTCATCACTCTGGGGGAGACGGGTAATAAGTGAGTGATCAACCAGCCGATTACTTACCGTAATTAAATCCTTTAAAAGCGTAGGCCAAATTGGAAGTAGGCCAATGGGGAGGGCACCTTCAATATAGCGCTAACTCGGTTAGAGCGCGCGGTAAAGCATGGCTCCCAAAATTTACTAACATAAATAAACTCAAGTTTTCCAATGACACGATGTTTTCCCACCATCTCAGAAAATCACCGCAATCACGTAGCACCGGAAATACCAGTCAACAAATCCGAACTGAAGTACGCAATTTAATCCTATTATTATAATATCTGGTAATATAAAAAAAAATGTCCATTGTTTATCTGGACTAATGTTTGCAATATATTTTGTTTAATTATATTCAAAATTTCAGTCAATAATTATAAAAATGTTTACAATAATTTCGGCGAAATCATGTGCGAAGTGATCGGTAGATCGCACAACTCACCGTTATTAACAGCAACCACGGTCAGATTACCGCTATTGACGCCTTGAAACGAACTTTAGTTGCAAGAGAATGGATACACATATCATAAATGCCGTACCATGACCCGCTTAAAGTCATATTTGAGGCAGTTTGACAATTAAATGTCAACATAACGTTTTCACAATCGAAATACAAGTTGTGCAGGAAGTCCTTACGGTGACTGCTCAAAATCGTTCCATACGTCAAAAAATATCCTGCATACAATCTGTACCAAAGCGCTACGCTTGTGGTTCTTATAATTTTAAGTATATATGGTGGAACCTGCAACTTAAATAACACGATATTGGAATATATTATTCCTGATAAAATAATAATTTCACATACAATTTCTTCCGACCATTGCATCAAATTTGTGGTATCATTGGGTACGTTTTAACTGAATCACCGGTAGATTGGGAGGAAACGTTGACACAGCTGTAGTCATATGTAACAATCGGGTGTTCTTTAACTCTTTCAAATTTCTTGCATGACATTAAAATAACTGTCTCTTTAAGTTATAAAATACCAAAGGAAATTATGTGCCATGCAAAGTTCGAGATGGCAATGCGACTTCCTAACAAACAGTTGTGGGAAATGTGCCCACCAGAGTTTAATATAGCAGGGAGAAAAAGTATCCTGGATGATCAAGTGAAGTAAAGTGGAATGGGCTTAACCTGGTTCAAGATTATTGCACTTATATAGCCACCTGCATGCACATGTGTGTGTGTGTGTGTGGCTTATAGTGCTAGCCCACTGAGATACCATGGTGCAGTTTAACATGAATAACCCAATTAGACACAGCATACCGACTCTGAGCCGACCAGTCCTTGTTTTAGCACCTTACTGCCGAGCGCCAGGCAGGGTAACAGCAGGTTCTATATTTTAACGTCATTTGGTATGACACGCTCTACCACTAGACCACGGAGGCGGTCTGGATGATCAAGAATGAGAAAACATAATAACTGATATATTTAGGCCCACTAAACAGAGGTATTGGTGGCCCAATTTTCATGGAACATTCAAATGTAAGAGGGGGCGGTTGGGTAGCCTAGTGGTTAAAGTGTTTGCTCGTCACGCTGAAGACCCGGGTTCAATTCCTGACATGGGTACAATGTGTGAAGCCCATTTGTGATGGGTATGCTGTGATATTGCTGGAATATTGCTAAAAGCAGCATAAAACCTCACTCACTCATGCACTCAAATATATTTTGTTTGTTTGTTTGTTCTTTTACGCCGCACTCAGCAATATTCCAGCTATATGACGGCGGTCTGTAAATAATCGAGTCTGGACCAGACAATCCAGTGATTGATATGATGAGCATCGATCCACGCAATTGGGATCGATGACATGCATCAACCAAGTCAGCGAGCCTGACCCCCCGATCCCGTTTGTCGCCTTTTACGACAAGCATAGTTACCTTTTACGGCAAATATGGGTTGCTGAAGACCTATTCTACCCCAGATCTTCACGGGTCCACTCAAATGTAAAATCAGCAGGAAGAGGAGATTGATAACATCAATTTTGCCTGTGGCATCAGCAGCCAGCCAAGTCTACATTTCACATCAATTTCCTTAATTTCCCTATTCAGCCTTACAGGCAAATTTATAATTTATAAGAATGACTGTACGCCTATTATTCAGAAGCAACTGTGAGTCACTGTCTGCACAGCTTTATAGTCACATCATGGCACATGTGGGGATTCTGGGTAAGAATATGGGTCCCCAGGAACCCAGCAACCTTGTCTGAAGGAACCTTGTCTGAAGCAACCTTGTCTGAAGAGTCGACTAACGGGATCAGGTGGTCAGGCTTGCTGACTTGGTTCTTGCATGTCATCGCATCCCAATTGTGTAGATTGATGCTCAGGATATCAATCACTTCATCGTCTGGTCCACACTTGAATATTTACAGACCACCATCATGAAGCTGGAACATTGTTCAACATTGACCAACAAACAAACAAAACACATTTGGGCTTGCCTATAGTAAATATGAGATATTTAGAGTTAGTGAGTTGGCTTTAATGCTGCCTTCAACAGTATTTCATTTTTCTCTATGGGCGACGGGGTGAAATCATCTGAACTCTGTAGGTGTGTGTCAGATGGGTTGAGAGCTGCTTTCAACAGTATTTCATTTGTTCTATGGGCGAAGAGGTGAAATCATATGAACTTTGTAGGTGTGTGTCAGATGGGTTGAGAGCTGCTTTCAACAGTATTTCATTTGTTCTATGGGCGAAGAGGTGAAATCATATGAACTTTGTAGGTGTGTGTCAGATGGGTTGAGAGCTGCTTTCAACAGTATTTCATTTGTTCTATGGGCGAAGAGGTGAAATCATATGAACTCTGTAGGTGTGTGTCAGATGGGTTGAGAGCTGCTTTCAACAGTATTTCATTTGTTCTATGGGCGAAGAGGTGAAATCATATGAACTTTGTAGGTGTGTGTCAGATGGGTTGAGAGCTGCTTTCAACAGTATTTCATTTGTTCTATGGGCGAAGAGGTGAAATCATATGAATTCTGTAGGTGTGTGTCAGATGGGTTTAGAGCTGCTTTCAACAGTATTTCATTTGTTCTATGGGCGACGGGGTGAAATCATATGAATTCTGTAGGTGTGTGTCAGATGGGTTGAGAGCTGCTTTCAACAGTATTTCATTTGTTCTATGGGTGACGGGGTGAAATCATATGAATTCTGTAGGTGTGTGTCAGATGGGTTGAGAGCTGCTTTCAACAGTATTTCATTTGTTCTATGGGCGAAGAGGTGAAATCATATGAATTCTGTAGGTGTGTGTCAGATGGGTTGAGAGCTGCTTTCAACAGTATTTCATTTGTTCTATGGGCGAAGAGGTGAAATCATATGAATTCTGTAGGTGGGTGTCAGATGGGTTGAGAGCTGCTTTCAACAGTATTTTATTTGTTCTATGGGTGAAGGGATGAAATCTTATCAACAACTAGGAGCTGCTTCCAACAGCATGTCAGTAATGTCATGTCATGCCATATTAGCTTGGTAGAGGAAAGCCAAAAGGGACATAGGTCTTAGACGTTTAGAAGTTTGGCAAGTCCCAAAAGGGTATGGTGCTGACAAACCATGAAAACAAAAGAAGAAACTGGGATTTGAAGCCACAGTCATATGTTCCTGGCATGCCTAAGGGAAGCCATTCTGCAATGTGACTTGTGGTACCAAGACCCATGCTTCTATTTCACATTATCTCACCCTTTGGCAAAACCCTTTAGCATAAGAGGTGCTGACAGACCAAGAATCACATTTGAAAATGTGATTCAAACTCACAATCAGCTTTCCATGGCATATCTTCGTAAGTGAGTGAATGTGAGTGAGTTGGGTTTTACGCCGCTTTTAACAGTATTCCAGTTATATCACGGCGTGTAAGCTTAATGTGGGAGGAAAGCCCGAAAAGATGCAGGTCTCAGACGTTTATCACTTCGGTGAAACCCACAAGCACGGGTATGGTGCTGACAAACCTAGAATCATAATTGGGGTACCGGGATTCGAACCCACAATCATAGGTTTCTGGCCTGCCAAAGGGACGCAACTCTGCACAGCGAATCGCAGCGCCTTAGACAACTGGGTCACCCATATGCCAGCTATGCAAGTGTAACTATAACAGATGTGAAATGCACAAAAAGAATACATATTGTGGAAACAAAGAATTTGAAATAAAGAAGAGAAAAATAATGTTGAATGATTTTATTTTGTACAAAGTATTTTTTTGAATACGTGATAACAATGAATGAATGAATTCAAAATTATGATCAAATATTCACTTAGGTCCCTTATTATCCCGGAAAAATCTCACTTTCAGGCTTTGAAATTTGAGGAGTGATTGCGATACACATACGTAAGATGAGAAAAATACCCTTTCCCATCATTGACATTAAAACTAACCATACCCTAATTAAGATGGTGGGTTTGGGGGAGGAGGTGGAGGTGGGGCAGGAGGTGCAGGGGGAGCCAAGGGGGGAGCCAAGGGGGGTGGAGCAGATGAAGGAGGGGGGCCTGGGGGCATCATGGGGGGTGGTGGCGGTGCAGAAGGGGGTGGACCAAGCGGCATCATGTTGGACGGGGGAGGTACTGGGGGTGGACCCTGATTAGGTGGTTGGCCAGGGGGAGGGCCTGACGGTGGAGGTGGTCGAGGTGGCATCCCCATAGGTGGGGGAATGGGGGGAGGGGGCATCCGTGGGGGGCCAGGCATCCGAGGAGGACCCATAGGAACAGGAGGCTGCATGGGTGGCATGTTGCCTTTGGGGTCGGCCTTGAATGCAAACTGGAGAAAATACTGAAACAAAGAAAAAAGAATGTTCTTGACACGGAGCAAGTTCACTGCCCTAAGCATTATCTGATGAAATACAGAGCCAAGGGCTCTGTTGCTAATCTGGCTTACCGATCATAATACATGCTGTCATGTTGATAAACACTCATCTGACCTACGAAGAGACAAAGACTATCAGATGAGTCAGTACTCCCATTCCTGGCCCTGGTCTCCCAGGCCTCATTTAACACTGCAGCTCACTCTGTTATGACTACCCATCTATTGTAAGGCATTCATGTCAAGTAGCTGTGTGTCTTTGTGTCCACATAAATGAAAAAAATAATTAACAATTCCGACACATTTTACTGAAAAGCCAAATGGAAAATAAAGAACTGGAATTCTCTTGTTTGTCCAAAGGACCTTTTTATTACAAAAACAAATTAAATTGAAGGGCCCAATTGTATTTTTATTTGGCCACCAACTCAAGGTTTTGGCAAAGACCAAGTCTCTGTTTTTTGGAAAGAAATATTTGTGAAGCAACTGACAAAAAAACAAAGGCCTATCTACACCATGCTGGTGTGTGTCGTGTAGCATGGGTTTGTCCCCCTCCCCCACTGCTGACATGCTAGGTTCAGGTGCCCATGTCAGCAGGCTGGGACAGTCAACCAGGATGTACCTGTCTGCACAACAGGGTTGTTGAGGAGGTGGTATGTGTGGGGGATTGTGACTCACCACATTACAAGTCACCAAGCTCAGGAACATAATTCAAAATAATATTTACTGGTCCTGTCAGCATTTCCTTTTGGTTTATATTGATTCATCAAATAGTGTGTTTAATGAACTGATTTATGTCGCACAAGATGCACATGTGAAACTTTTGTTATAACTTAAGTATCTATTAGATACTTCCGAAATGAAATATTCATGCTTTATGATTACTAATAACATCTCCAAGGATAGTTGGGCAAAAACAAGTCTTCTAAGTTCCGCATTCCATGTTCACCTCCACATCACAATGAAATATTATAACTTATAAACAGCTATCAGAAACTGACACTGATGAATGTGAACATGGAACGTGGGAACGCGCCAAGCAGAACTTAGGGAACTTGACTTAGATCCTCCTGTCGAAATTCTGATGTATCGCATTTGTTTCCCCTACGATGGTACTACATGTATATCGATAGGAATTTTAAAAATACCAATATATATATTGATAGTATTTTTAAAAACCGATGGTTTAAATAGTTGCAATAAAACATGCATCAGAAAACTCAGTTTTGCAGTCCAATTTCAAACCTGCCATGAGTTGTCAACCCATCTCCAACCCTACACCCACGCCCACGCCCACCCCTACACCTGTCCCTACACCCACGCCCACGCCAACCCCTACACCCACCCCAACACCTGTCCCTACACCCATCCCCACCCCTACCCCCATCCCCACCTACACCCACCTACCACCCACACCCACCCCTACACCCATCCCAACACCCATCCCCAGGTCCATGCCAACCCCTACACCCACACCCACCCACACCCACCCACACCCACCCCTACACCCATCCCAACACCCATCCCCACGTCCATGCCCACCCCCACCTACACCCACCTACCACCCATCCCCACCCCTACGCCCATCCCTACATCCACTCCCACACCTACACCCTCCTACCACCCATTCCCACCCCTACACCCATCCCCGCCCCTACACCCATCCCCACCCCTACACCAACACCCACCCCTACACCCATCCCCACCCACCTACCACCCATTCCCACCCCTACGCCCAACCCTATATCCACGTCCACACCTCCACCCACCTACCAGCCCTACACCCATCCCCACCCACCTACCACCCATTGCCACACCAACTGCCCACCCCTTCACCAAACCAGTCCCCCACACATATCCCCACACACCTGTTTTGTATCCTTGTTCCAGTGAGTCCACAGTTTCTTGGGGTCCTTGTCCACTTCTCTGCTGGGCACCTGCAAAGTACATATATGTCTTTTAGCCCACCAAAACAACACACAAACAACTCCTACAGACTTTACATTTTCAAAACTTGTCATGTCCTTAAATTTAGTTCACTGCTTACAATGCAACACTACATACAAAAAATCCTCTGCTCATATCTGTATGGCCATTCATATCAACCAATTGAGTCGAGTTTGGTTTCAAAAACAGAAGTAGTTACAAACAGGATCCCAAGAGTTACCTCCCTTTCCCCTGACCACCACAAGGTGCTGACATTGTTGCAGAAACAAACTTGAAACTCCATGTTTAACGTTGTCAATACTTCCATGTCTGTAATACTATGTAAATACATAGGACCAATACACATTATCATACCTCCATGTCAGAATGATGAGATCTGATTGGTCCACGTGATCTTGATAAAATACTGTGTTACCCGCCTTGGAGGGTAATAAATTTCTAAGCGGGGAAATAAATCTCTTATACGCCGCCACAAGCAATACAGGCTGCACATGGATTTCTGAGAAACAGAATAAATTCCTTATACCCTGAGTCGATGGAAGTCACGCGACATAGCACAAGTTAACCTCAGCTAAATCGAACAGCTGCTTTCTATCGGTTTTGAATTTGTGCTATCAATGTCACATCAAATCATGTCAGTAAGATAAATTTGTTGTAGCAGGATCACTCAGGGTACATGGGGTGTTATGCGTCCTGGTATCAACAAGACAAGAGTGTCAGGTCAACATCAAGGCACAAAGTAGACACTCTCACTACTGCGTGTACCCCGTGTATGACATGCCATACAGGATGGCATTGCATGTCACAGGAGTATTCTTCATATGGACTGTTGCTCGTTACTGTACCTTCAGACATGGCATAGTCCATCCATATCAGTACAATCAGTGTTCCCGTTTACTGGTAAATACCAGTTTTTTACCGGTAAAATTAGGCTTGGACCGGTAATTCATGTGACTGCCAGTCCCTGTGGACCGGCAAATAAAGTACCTTATAAATCTTTGTTGAACAAAACATTGGCGATATTCATATAAGTATATTTTTCAAACAAAGTCAGCTTGTCTAGGGTTCCCCTTGTCTATTTCTAGTGCAAGGAAATAACATTTACCGTATATCGCTGTGTATAAGGCGAGTTTTTCGTACCTAAAATGAGGGGGTTAAGAAGGGGGGTCGTCTTATACACGGAGTCGAAGATCTCACGTTTTTTTCCAGGTGTGTCACTTTCAGCTTCCACTGGCGATGTCGACCAGCGTTCGATAGCCAGCCCAGCATTTGACAATAAAACTTCGCATTTCGTCCTAAATAACTGTTCAAATAACTATTTCCATACATAAACATGATTTGTATCTATTTTCCTTGAATAAAGTTGAATATTTTCTGCAAATAAAGTCGAAATGACCCTCGCCTCGATGCAGAATGTCAAGCCAGCTGACACGGTAAAACAATCAACATCCGTGAGTAGAGAGCCGGAAGTACCGGTAAGCATTTGCATATTTCACATGTGACCTAACATGTGATAACCGGTGAAGCTGAAATCAATTCCCGTTGTTTTTACAGTTGTATTAACAACTGTTGGAGACGGTGTGTATAAGTGAATGTTGAATAAACACGCTGAATGTGACGCAAACATAAGCCTAGTTAGATACAACATAGTTAATTGGCGATTAAATTACTCCCATTATCTCACCAAAGATCAAACCCATTGTTTCTTTTCATAGTCGGAGGGAAGCCGTGTAGTAGATTTAAGGGATTATAGAATGGTTGAGTATTTGAGTAGGCCATGGATGGGTATAAATAATTCGTTATTCGTTGACTTGATATATATTTGTAGTGACTTAGTCTCGAAATATTAAAAAAGAAGAGAGAATTGTGACTGAACTTTGTGTGAATGACAAGTAAATCTAACTAAGTTACTTCAGAGATGACTTCATTGCATTGAATATGATGTTGAGGGAATTAAAACCAGGTTATTTTCACATGTTTTTTTATTTGTTGAAAGTTGGGACTGACAAAAGTTAGAGGGGACTGGTAATGTTTAGAGTTGCCAATCCACCAGGACTGGCAGTTTCAGAAGCCAGCGAGAACACTGAAAATGCTTCGAAAATACTCTTTTCTGTTTGCATGTCAAATACATTCTGCCTTTTGCATGTCATTATTAAATTAAACCCCATCCTTATTGTTGATATCACATATCACATGAATATTCCTCTATAAACATTCTCTAAAATGTAAAAATACATCACATGGGCAAATGATAAACACTAGCTGCAGTAAGCATGGTTACTGTATCCCCTTATCCACTCATCATATTTACGTGGATCGATGCTCATGATGTCAATCACTGGATTGTCTGGTCCAGGCTCAATTATTTACAGACCGCCGCATATAGCTGGAATACTGCTAAGTGCCGTGTTAAAAACAAACAAACAAACACTCATCATTAAGTCATATAATCAGATGTACTTAAGGTCTCTACTGGGCAGCTACAGATTGACCCATCAGAAAAGTCAGCCAATGTGTGCTGCATGCTTTACAGCATGTCTATATCTCTGATTGGCTACAAATCATAAAATATTGTAAAATCTATGTTGGGTGGTTGTGGTTAAAGTGTTCGCTGGCCACACCGAAGACCTGGGTTCGAATCCTGACATGGGTACAAGGTGTGAAGCACATTTCTAGTGTCCCCCACCATGATACTGCTGGAATATTGCCAAAAGCGGCGTATAACCAAACTCTCTCACTATAAAAACTATGTACCAATCTCTTCCACATTCACCTGATATCTGACATTTTATTTCATTAAAAGTGAACTTTGAACAATAAATCCAGACTGGAAACAAAAACTGGTAGTTGTAGATTCATTGCCTGTTACTGGTGATAGCCCTTTCATCTCAATCATTCAATCATCCACGAATGGCCCGTTTCAACACGTACCTTGAAGGCAATGGTTTCGTACGGCTCTGCGGCAAACAGCAGGTACTGCCACCGCCTGTCTGGGGGTTCCATCTTCTGTTCATAGGCTGCCATGAAGCGGTACCGCGGCATCATACTCTCCACAATCTCTGGGTAATCAATCTGCACCCAAGAGTTGATATCATAATACAAACAGGCTATTTATATTGGACATTTTTCCACACCACTCAGGGGCATGCTCAAAGCACTATTATTACCCCGCTCACTGGATCCCATGTTCTTATGGATATTTTTAGGTACAGGGTATGTAAATACACATGATTCTAATGGCCACAAATAACAAATTCAATTCATGAATGGTTACGGTTCGATTCACCGAATACGTGAGTGAATCGTAACAGCCCTAGTGAATAGTACAGCAAATAAACTTAGAGGTACTGAGTGAGACCAAAGATCGATGCTCTGTTGATAAGTAAGGTTTTGTCAGACAAAAATTTAAAACATTAGTCACCCAGAATTGCAACAGAGTTCTTATTGTTGTGTAATTTGCACCCATGACCAGCAGATCCGGCAGCTAAGGCAAATAACTCTTGACAGCAAGATCCAGCATCTTAGACCACTTGGCCATCTGGCCTAGGGACGAAGCCATCCTTTCTTCTAAAGTTACCTAATCTTCCCGAGGCAAGGGCGTTAGCTGACTATACAAGTCCAGTTCCCACCCTTGCCGAGCTAGGCTGGTATTCCACAGTTACATTTCGGCATGAGTCAAAGCATAGTCCAATCAAAATCGTTTAACAAACTACATGGATTTCAACGTGCTGATTTCGGTTGACTGCAGGATTTGTAAAGCATGTGTACTGTCAATTGGGCGTCGACAGATATTTTGCTAATCTTTTCATGTTTTTAATCAAGGTGCCCAAGTGATTTGATGCAACTAGCGGTGTGAGATAGATCTTGATTATCGATCAGATCATTTTGACTTGGCGCCACCATTTTGTATGAAGCAAATGCAAGTGATATGAGTGATGGAATTGGATTGGTCAACAGGAGGGACATGGAAGGGACCTAATTCGTAATAGCAACTGGTGACGCTACGATCAAGCCTGGAGATTCCTACCTAGTTCGGCAAGGATGGGAACTGGACTCCGGGGCCCCGTTCCTCAAAGCGATCTTAGCGCTAAGGTGATCGTAAGTCCCATACTTTAACATAGGCTTACGATCAGAGTAGCGCTAAGATCACTTCGAGGAATGGGGCCCTGTAGTCAGTAAACGCCTTAGGATGATAAAGTTACACTTGCAGGGGGAGACAACTTTACTGAGGAGATCCCTGTCTCTATCAGGTCATGATGACACTGCAGGTTACCCCTACTGACCTGAAACAGCAGGCTCTGTTGCCCGTTGTCGGGGTCCCGCTGTTTTGTCACTGAAACACAAACAGTCACAGGTAACACAACATGCATTAGAAAGAGGAAGATAGATGTCTCATTAAACGCTGTGTAATGCTTAAGTAGGTTCATTTCTTCGCAGCTACCGGTATGTCATCACTTTTATTTTCCGTGAAAGCATCATGTTGACATGCATTTGTTGACACACATTTATGACACCTTCAAAAATTGGGATTATTTCAAAACAAATAAATTGTCCCCCAAAACGCTTGAAAACAAATAGTTCTGCTTCAGAATGTTGAAAAAAAAATGTAAGCAACAAAAAATGCATTTCAGAAAGGTGTTTTTAATTTCTTTTTAATTAGGCTCATAGTTTTGCAGCTGTAGCTTAAAAAATATAAAGTCTCTATACAAAAACCCAATTGCTACCCCTTCAGTTTAGGTTGACTGATTTAAACTTAATGCTTAAATTGTTTACAGGGCAGGTCATTTACTATCTCATGGTTAACAAATGTGATGTTTGGGATAACACTATAAGAGCCTTCCGCCATGGGAGCCCTGCCAATTTACACTCATCAGAGGGGTATACAACGTATGTGATCTAGACTACAAGATGTTGGACTTTCATTTTTTATGGACACCTCAGTGACTGAGTGGGATATATCGCATATAACATTTGTTTCAATCTTTTACTTCTGTATAAAGTCAATAAAACATTGTTTCAATCTATTACTTCTGTATAAAGTCAATAAAACATTGTTTCAATCTATCACTTCTGTACAATGTCAATAAAACATTGTTACAATCTATTACCTCTGTATAAAGACAATAAAACATTGTTTCAATCTATTACTTCTGTATAAAGTCAATAAAACATTGTCTCAATATATTACTTCTGTACAAAGTCAATAAAACATTGTTTCAATCTATTACCTCAGTATAGTCAATAAAACATTGTTTCAATCTATTACCTCAGTATAGTCAATAAAACATTGTTTCAATATTTTACTTCTTTATAAACTCAATAAAACATTGTTTCAATCTATTATCTCTGTATAAAGTCAATAAAACATTGTTTCAATCTATAACCTCTGTATAAAGTCAATAAAACATTGTTTCAATCTATTACTTCTGTATAAAGTCAATAAAACATTGTTTCAATCTATTACCTCAGTATAGTCAATAAAACATTGTTTCAATATATTACTTCTTTATAAAACTCAATAAAACATTGTTTCAATCTATTACTTCTTTATAAACTCAATAAAACACCTTTTAATTCTGCATATAAACACTTCTGTTCTATTGCATCAAAGAGATTTCATGTCGGTCGAAATCGTTTACCATAAAATAACTTTAAAAAGTGTGGCCTTTGTTGACAGTTGGCAGTGAAGGACGGGCATTGCTTGATCTGTATCCTGATATTATGCAACAAATGATGGGTGAAACTGCCTTGCTGAAGCAGAAGGATGACTTCCTTACAGGATGCAGCAACAGGCACATTCAAGAGTCTGAGGTGTTGTTCATCAGGTCCCTGCCAATGCTTGTGTCGTGCTGCAGACACAGTCTTCACACAGAACACTTTCAAGCTGCATCTGTTTGTGAGTGCTGCATGCAGACACAGTCTTCACACAGAACACTTTCAAGCTGCATCTGTTTGTGAGTGCTGCAGACACAGTCTTCACACAGAACACTTTCAAGCTGTATCTGTTTGTGATTGCTGGAAGCTCCAGAGAATAAGTGTTCGTTTGTTTGTTTGTTTGCTGATTAATGCCGCACTCAGCAATATTCAAGCTATATAACAGCGGCCTGGAAATAACCAAGTCTGTACCAGACAATCAAGTGATTGACATTATGAGCTTCGATCTAAACAAAAGGGATATGATGACATGCATCAACCAAGTCAGCGAGCCTGACCACCCGATCCTGTTAGTCGCCTCTTAGGACAAGCATAGTCACCTCTTACGGCAAGCATGGGTTGCTGAAGACATATTCTACCACAGATGTTCATGGGTCAGTGACTGAGAGTGAGTTTGGTTTAGCACTGCTTTAAAGAGTATTCCAGTTATATCACGGCTGTCAACCTAAATACAGGAGGAAAACCCGAAGTGAAGTAGGTCTCAGACATTTACCACTTTGGTGAATCGCACAATCCTAGAAACATAATTGGGGTGAATAGGTTTCTGTCATGCTCAAGGGATGCAACTCTGCACAGAGAATTCAGAGCTCCAGATAAGCTTTTGATGTTGTGGGTATTTTACCCATGCATTTTAAAATCATTGGGTATCAGTTATTCTATCTGCGTATTCAAATTTCTGTTACCCACTAGTTTTTACACATGTGGGTATTTAAGTTAAATATTTAAAAACACTATTCATCTAGTCCCTGCAAACTGGTGTCGTGTGGGTTCGAGAGCTTTATAGGACTCAAAAATACCACGATACTTCCACAAGAAAGTGTGATGGCAAATGATCATGATGTAACTGTCATCGTGGAGTTTGGCAAGGTTGACGGAATGCCCGTTTATAATTTCAAAATAAGTTGCTGATTTGCTAATCGAATACGCAGGGTTACTTCACAATATTTTGATGATACACACAAGTTTTATTTTTGTAGCGTATCTGTAATGTTTGTTGCGTATTTGATACGCTTGGATTATATTTTACTGTGTATTTCTGCATTTCTGATGCGTATTTCACGCAGATACGCAGCGTATCTGGAGCTCTGGAATTGCAGTGCCTTTGAGGACTGGGCCACCCAGCAAACTCACAGGAATATTTTAGAGGTCCCAGACATGGATATCGGGGACATGGACGGTGACGTGACACAGGACTTCGAAGAATTTTAATGACATCGTGACTTGCGCATGACCTAAGCCACATGCTTATCATATTTTATCATTTCTTTCTTTAAACGGAACAAAGTGAGTGAGCGAAGGAAATCTGACATGGACAGTGTCATCAGAATGTATGTATATCCTTAAAGTAAACAAGCATGCCACAAATGATTTAGTTTCAAACATTTATTCAAGTAACACCTTTTTCGCGTCACATGAGATTTGCAGTGCATATTAATTGCATCCATTATCAATCTTAACAATCTGCTCATAGGACACAATACTGAAAACTCCTATACTAGATACTAGATATTGTGTTACAATATAGCCCGGCAATCAGTACTACTGACATGATTAGAAGTTAGATACTCAACATATTGCAGTACTATCACAATGATATTGTAATAATGAATTGAGCTGTTGCAGAACAATTGCAGCACTATTGCAAAATTGATTGGAGCTATTGTAGTTCTATTGCAGGACAATTGCAATAGCTAACTCCTCCTCCCCTTAATCTCCTTCCCCTTCCATCCCTCTACCCTCCTCCCTCCTCCCATCTACTCTCCTCCCTCCACCCCTCCCACCTCCTCCCCCCTCCCATCCACTCTCCTCCCTCCCATCTCCTCCACCCCTCCTATCTACTCTCCTCCCTCCATTCCTCCCATCTACTCTCCTCCCTCCACCCCTCCCACCTCCTCCCCCCTCCCATCCACTCTCCTCCCTCCCATCTCCTCCACCCCTCCTATCTACACTCCTCCCTCCATTCCTCCCATCTACTCTCCTCCCTCCACCCCTCCCTTCTCCCCCCCCCCCCTCCAATCCACTCTCCTCCCTCCACCCCCTCCCATCTTATCTCCTCCCTCAACTCCTCCTATCTCTCATTTCCTCCACCCCTCCCATCTACTCTCCTCCCTTCACTTCTCCCCTCCTCCCATCTACTTTCCTCGCTCCACCCCTCCCATCTCCTCCACCCCTCCCATCTACTCTCCTACCTCCACTCCTCCCATCTACTCTCCTCCCTCCACCCCTCCCATCTCCTCCACCCCTCCCATCTCCTCCACCCCTCCCATCTACACTCCTCCCTCCATTCCTCCCATCCACTCTCCTCCCTCCACCCCTCCCATCTCCTCCACCCCTCCCATCTCCTCCACCCCTCCCATCTACACTCCTCCCTCCATTCCTCCCATCCACTCTCCTCCCTCCACCCCTCCCATCTCCTCCACCCCTCCCATCTACTCTCCTCCCTCCACCCCTCCCATCTCCTCCCCTCTACTCTCCTCCCTCCACCCCTCCCATCTACTTTCCTCCCTCCACCCCTCCCATCTACACTCCTCCCTCCATTCCTCCCATCTACTCTCCTCCCTCCACCCCTCCCATCTCCTCCACCCCTCCCATCTCCTCCATCCCTCCCATCTACTCTCCTCCATCCCTCCCATCTACTCTCCTCCCTCCACCCCTCCCATCTCCTCCACCCCTCCTATCTACTCTCCTACCTCCACTCCTCCCATCTACTCTCCTCCCTCCACCCCTCCCATCTCCTCCACCCCTCCCATCTCCTCCATCCCTCCCATCTACTCTCCTCCCTCCACCCCTCCCATCTCCTCCACCCCTCCTATCTACTCTCCTACCTCCACTCCTCCCATCTACTCTCCTCCCTCCACCCCTCCCATCTCCTCCACTCCTCCCATCTACTCTCCTCCCTCCACCCCTCCCATCTCCTCCCATCTAGTCTCCTCCCTCCACCCCTCCCATCTCCTCATACCCCTCCTATCTACTCTCCTACCTCCACTCCTACCTCCACCCCTCCCATCTCCTCCACCCCTCCCATCTACTCCACCCCTCCCATCTACTCTCCTCCCTCCACCCCTCCCATCTCCACCCCTCCCATCTACTCTCCTCCCTCCACTTCTCCCATCTACTCTCCTCCCTCCATCCCTCCCATCTACTCTCCTCCCTCCACCCCTCCCATCTCCTCCACTCCTCCCATCTACTCTCCTCCCTCCACTCCCCCCATCTTATCTCCTCCCTCAACTCCTCCTATCTCTCATCTCCCTCCAATTTCGCATTTCCTCCCTCCCACCCCTCTTATCTCTCATTTTCTTCCTCCCACCCGTCCTATCTCTCCTCCCCTCAATCCCATCTCCCCCTCTCCCATCTAGCCTCCCCAGCTGTGGCCCAGGAAACAGGTCCTACCTTTGTAACCCGGTCGCCCAATCTTCACAAATTTCTTGATGTCAACTTTGGCCTTCTCTGGGGCAGGCTGTGCAGGGGCCTCCTTGGCATCTTTCGCTGCCCTCCGAGCTCTGGTGGTACAAAACACCGCCTCAAAGTATCTCTTCACAAGATATTTCTACCACTTACACCGTACTTAGCCTGAACGGGTCCTGTGCAGGGATTCTGACATGTGACGTAATGTATCTCACCCTAGTTCATCCAGTGTATCACATCTCCCTCTTATTATGATAAACACCCTGCACCCATTTCCAGCCATGACATCTCCATCTCCTGTCTTGCTAGCTCTGCACAGATTCTCTATTCAGGTTTACAGAGCAAATATTGTGTCCAGTACGCACAAATGTTGAAATTGGGCGCAAAAAAGAACATACTGTGTCCTGAGGGTTAACCAATAATACTGATTGTACCTACAGCACATCAAGAGCAGTTATGGGTGTCTGTTATTTCATCCATCAATCATGACCACTGTCTTCATAATCACTGATTCATTCCTGGCTCTAAAGTAACTAGCAAAACGTAATGAGTGAGTATGGTTTTACGACGCTTTTAGCAATATTCCAGCAATATCACGGAGGGGGGCACCAGAAATGGGCTCCACACATTGTACCCATGTCGGAAATCAAACCATGGGTCTTCAGCATGATGAGTGAATGCTTTAACCACGAGGCTACCTGACCGCCCCCAAAACGTACAGTACACTTAACCATTTCCTTACATTACAGGACCCTCATATTGCCTGCAAGGGCACTTAAAATTAATTATATGGGGTCACCCACTTTTGTAAGTCAAAGTAAAACCCTGTCTCTTGCTCATGAGCTTGAAGTCAACAAACAATCACAATGCCTCTTACGAATGTGAATTCGGCATAGATCTACATTCAATTTCATGGCCTCCTATGAGCAAGCCCTTGATGCATCTTATCGGTTCAGAAGACTTCTGAACTTTACTTTTAGCGGAGTATTAAGACAGGGGAGGAGGGGATGTCATGCTACAAGACTATAAGGGCTTGCTTCAAGCATAAAAAAAACTGCACAATTTGACTGGAAGGCTATTTTTAGCATTGTGACATTTGCACCAGACTCAAACAAAGCTATGGTGGCGAATGTGATCAGGATATTTACCATGAAAAATGGAGACATACGACTGGATTGGATAATTAAGCATAAATGTATCTAGACCAACAGAAGATTTACTAAATTATCAGAATTAATTCCATAAGTCCCCTTTACTTGATGCATAATGCTGAAGTAAGCAATATTCAATTTATCACCCAGAGATATGCATGCTTCACTTAGGGTGAGTGAGTGTTTTTTTTGTTGTTTTTTAAATATTATTTTATTAAATTCAGTATATGATATTAAAGAGTTATACATTGAGTAGCACGTCTTGTGGTATACTTATTAGGTATAGGTTACATACCTATACAGCAGACAGCAAGTCAGCAAGTTTACGTTGGCTACAGGTGTACAACAATGTTTACAAATGGTGAAGAGGGCAGGCTACATTTATTATTAACTAAGTGTGGAGCTAAATCCTTACAGCACATGAGTGGAAATTGTTCATGTTATATAGAGTGAGTGAGTGTTTACCTAGACATGAAACTGACAAACACAATAGTTGTGACAAACCTAATAACCTGGCGTTTCTGGCATGCCCAGGACATTATAGATAACACTGAGCTTTAAAATGACAGAGGTGAGTATATATAAACTACAACAGTCACGATTAAACTTTGAGGAGAACCAGCCACTTTAGTGTCTACAGGGTTTCGTAGAAAACAACCTTAGCGCTTCGATGTCGGAACTCTATGTTAAAGTATAGGAGTTACGATCACCTTAGTGCTAAGGTCTCTTATCACAATGGCACCAGGATACGCATTTCATGTTCATGTTTTCTGTAGAAAATGGTTGCCAGAGAGATGGCTGAACACGTTGATCTAGTCGGACTTACAAGTTGGCTTGATGTTTCTTTCCCTGTGTGTGGGCCAGGTAACTTCCCTGCAAGAAACAATCAGAAACATCATAGACACACTTGCCAATGTGAACAAAATCACTGACTGTTTTATTGCACAGCACGACTGGATGACCAAAGGGAGATAATCCATAATGACTATTTACGGCAGGAATCCAAAAACAAAAATAACAAACTGACCAATTTTTTAAATTATCTTATCATGTTTATTGAACCTGTAGGTTGTATTAAAAAAGAAACTAGAAGCTCATCTGAGTTGTTCAATATTAACCGGGCGATTCAGATTCGTTCATGTTCTAGGACATTGACTGACTGTCTTCCAAAGATTTTTTTCCAGATAAGTAGTGATAAGCATGACATAGAAGAACGTCCAATTATATGTAGATTCAGTAAACATCATCCAAAAGTCCTTAATGCGATTTGTCCCAATGAAAATTGCTTTTGATAGTTTTAAATTTGCAATCTGACCAAAACGAATGCAGGGCTTTACCAGATGCAAAATACTGCATCCTATACGCAAAAAACTTAAGCATGGACACAAAATACTGACGGCATCACACATACTTTGTATATTATTTAATGTTGGTACAAAGGTCGCCCAGGGATGCCCAATGAAATGTCTGTGGCCCTGGAAATGTATTACTGAGAGTCCCTAGGTATCGTAAATAGACCGAGGTAAACCCACATACACTTATCATCATGTTTATTGCACACCAAGATGTCACACATCCAAACCTGAGGTGAATACATTTGACAATATGGCAGTGGCTGACAGTAATGGGGAAAATTACTTATTCAATATGGCTGCAATAGCTACAATTCTTCTACAAGGATCAGATATCTGTGAAAATCAGTGAGCAATGTTTAGAGACAGCATGCAGTGTTAGAAATTGGCACTAGTCCTGTAGTCCTTGCCAAACTGCCCAACAGTTAAGGTATCATAAGGACTAGTAGAAATTTGCCATTTTAAGGGTTTTGCTATATGTTATCATTATAAGGACTAGTGGACTAAAACAGTTAGTTTCTATCACTGCAGCATGGCTGGGAGCATCCATGGTAAGTTTTAGTATCTTATGCCTTTTCAAGAAAAAGATGACAAGATGATCATGTGAACCTTTGGTACAAGTGAGTTAACAAAAAATATTAATGTTTCTTTCTAAAACTGCTTACCTCATTGTTGTGTAGTGTGAGACAAAGCTTACACTCATAGGATCCGAGATGGTTTTTCATAAAATATGGATCCTGTTAACAGAAAAACAGTTTGACAAATGAGGCATACATAAGAACAAGGAAACGCCCCACAGGGAAAATATAGAAAAACCTTCAGAAGCATAAATCATTATAATTATTACAAGCAAACATTTCCGGTTTCTGACATTTATTATCTTTTCAAAACTTGACACATATTTCTCTTCATGAACATGATGAAAAGAAAGTGATGCCTATGGTAATAGCATTCTCACAACATGTCCGTGCTCATTGTATCCTTGACTGTATCCAGCTGAGGCCAGAATAGTGAGTGAGTTGGGTTTGCACAGTATTCCAGTTCCAGTCAAGTCCAGTTAATCTGACATTGTTGGTTGCATATGATTATGTCGGATTAACGAGTATGTCGGATAAACAAGTGTCAGATTAACGAGACTTGACTGTATATCACCGTGTGTCAGCTTAATGTGGGAGGAAAGTCCATGATGCAGGTCTCAGACGTTTCCCACTTTCGTGAAACCCACGAGTATGGGTATGGTGCTGACAGACCAAGATACATAATCGGTGCAAACAGGGATTTGTACCTACAATCATAGGTTATTGGAGTGACCATTGGACGCAACTCCGCACAGCAAAATGCAGCGCCTTAGACGACACAGCAACCCGTGGCCAACTGAGGCCAGAATAAAGTTTGTAGTTCCCTGCCTGAGTGCCGTTGTACAAAACAACCTTAATGCAACGACTGTCATAAGTCTATGTTAAGGTATGGGAGTTACGATCACCTTAGCACTAAGATCACTTTGTTCAACGGGACCCTGACATATAAGTATCAGCATGACCAAGCATGACCTTATTGGTCACCCTAATGGTCCAAACATGCCAAAGATAACACGAAAAAGTCAAACTCCAAACTTAAAACTGGAAGAGTGAGTGAGTATGGTTTTACGCCGCTTTTAGCAATATTCCAGCAATATCACGGCGGGGGACACCAGGAATGGGCTTCACATATTGCACCCATGTCGGGAATCGAACCCGGGTCTTCGCCGTGACAAGCGAACACTTTAACCACTAGGCTACCTGAACGCCCCTAAAACTGGAAGAAATAATGTGTGTTTAACATATTTAAACTTGCTCAATTCAATGCAAGAAATGTCTAAGGAATTAATGTCAAATTGATGTTTCTATGCATACAAAGTTTCATTGTTTTGAGTCAGTAGAGTAACTATGGTAACCATTATGTAACATAGAGGATCTGGAGTGAGGAGAGCCCAAAGTGATGCATGTCTCAGACAGATACCACTTCTGTGAGCACGGACATGGTGCTGACAAACCTAGAAACTAAATCAGTGTGAATCTGGGTTTCAAACTTAAGATCATAGATTTCTGAATCACTGGTTCAAGGGACACAACTCCGCACAGCAATTTTGCAGCTATTTGAAATTGTTCACGACTCCTTACCTTGTTCAGATCAATAGTTTCCAGGGCCAACTGTCGGAGACGCTCCCTCCGGTCCCTGTTGGACTCGGAGGCGGAGGCCACACCCCCACTCCCCGTCTTCCCCCCAGCTCGATGCTGGAAGTCCATCGTAGGTCAAGGTCAGCTGAAACAAACATTTCATGAAAATGATGTACCAGTACTTCTGGAGCTGTTGGTTCACCGATCACAATCAACTGTATATTACTTCACAGTAGGGCTGCAACGAATACACTTGGAGGCGAATATGATTCGTATCATGGATATAGGGTAAGGAATACAAATATTAATTAATGAATACAATAACAAGTCAGCAGTTGATGCCTTATTTGTTATATTCAGTGAAACAATCACAACATAAACTATTTGACATGGTTTGTCAACTACATTTATATACTTCACTTCACTTATCCAGGTACTAGTATCTGCTCAAACGCGACAATGACCAGTGACCACAATACTGTCAAACTAAATATTATAACAGTGTTGTCTTTGAAGAAATCTTCGGCAACCCATGCTTGCCGTAAAAGGCGACTATGTTTGTCCTAAGAGGCGACTAATGGGATCAGGTTGTCAGACTCGCTGACTTGGTTGATGCATGTCATCGATCCCAATTGCGTGGATCAATGCTCATGATATCAATCACTGGATTGTCTGGTCCAGACTCAATTATTTACAGACCACCGTCATATAGCTGGACTATTGCTGAGTGCGGCGTTAAACAACAAACAAACTAAGAACCTGATAAAGTGCAGTGCTCATCTTTCATGCCCTTGGATTCACATGTAATTCACAAATAATTAGTGCTTGTTTACCAAGTCATCATGGTCATCAGCGTCTGATTGTAGGGTGCAGGCTAAAATGGCTACTCAGCAAAACATCACCGATTTCTCTGGCAAAAACGGCACCGCACTTGGCGAAAAAGGCAACTATGTGACTGACGGGTGAAAACGGCACCTCTATTTTTAATAGCCGTCATATAGCTGGAATATTGCTGAGTGCGGCGTAAAACAACAAACCAAACACTATTTTTAATAACGATAAGAACAATTTATGTAGTAGTATATCTGATTTATGTTATTTGTTACATATTGATGTATTTACATGTTATTTCCTGTTTTCCAGTTCACCGTTAACTACATACATTCACATATATACAGTTCTTTACAGTTTACAATATCGGCCCATGTACCACCGAGCATTGTGATAGTAGCTGACTCAGGGGGCTAATTTCTAATGTAAACTTGTTTGAACATTTCACTATTATTGGTGTTTGTAAGAGACGATGTGAGTTTAATTTCATTTATTTTACTTCAAGGCATGTTATCTTTTCACAATAAGTTGAGTTACATATAGGCTAAGTTGGAATATAGTTGGAGTAGAGGCTAATTACTAATGTAAACTTGTTTAACATTTCACAATTATTGGTGTTTGCAAGCGACCATGTAAGTTTAATTACATTTATTTTACCAAGGTAAAAAAAATAAGGTGCTGTTATCGCCAGGCAATAGTAGCCGTTTTTGCTTGAGGCGAGGTGCCGTTTTCGCCAGGTGCCGTTTTGCTGAGGTGCCGTTTTAGCTATAACCAATAACCCCTGATTGTAGACCCTGCAGTTGCCATTTTCTCTGCAAAACTTGATAAAAAATGTACAGGTTTTCCTTAAAATACATTTGATTACTTCATCAGAAAAAAGGGATAGTTAACCAATACCCTACCTCAAACTAAGCCAAAAGATAGTAAAGGCCTAACCCTAAGGATCATAAAAGGGTGTTTGATTGGCAAGTGGTGTCCAACCCTAAGGATCGCAAGGGTTTTTGATCGGAAAGGTGTACCTTACCCTGATGATCGTAAAGGGGTGCTTGATCGGCAAGTGGCAATGGATCAAGTTGCAGGTAAGCTACCCTTACCCTGACATAACTAACCAAGAGGATCAATGAGGCATGCTATATCTGTAAAGTGAGAGCCACAACTGGAAGCACGAACCAACTAGCGCTGTGAAAGCTGAGCCCAGTAAACTGCATACTTGCTATCTGACCCTCCTACTCCCTCCCCACATGTGGCTCTAAATGAAATCCGAAAAGTGTGTCTGATTAAAGTGCCGTAGTCCTTGATTGTCTTGTCAAGACTTGATTAATTATAGGCCCCCGTCATATTGAATATTTTCAAGCCGCCTACATATAGCTGGAATAGTGCTGAGTGTGTTAAACAAAGAAACTTACATGGACTAATGTCAGTACACAAACAAATGAATATGGACTTATGTCATTGTGTCCATAACAGGCTCTTGAAGCAGGATAGTTATATTATTGAAACACCGGAACCATAACCATGATAACAATTATCATGATATCGATAATACAGGGTCTATCTGTGTTAATGAACAATGGGAACATGTTTTCTACTAAGTGTTTATGTCTAAGCTTTCTTACATTCATACAGGGAATATGAATCCCACATCGAAAAGAGAAACCTTACATTTGATTGTGATGAAATACGAAAGCTACTAGGCTACCCTGAGCCTGCAATTGACCGGCCTTATTGTGTTTTGGGGTTCGCCCTTTTCTAGTTAATGTACCTTGGAAACTCAAACAAACTTTACACTTCTCTTGATTGATCTATCTACCAACATCTACAAAATGAATACATGCATACTCACAAAATAGCTTAATTGTACGCTATTTATCGCCGATTATTCTTAATATTTTCGTTTAGCGTGGGTCATTGGACGTCGCCATTACGTCTCGCAATATTCTACTTCCGGTTCTCGGATCTCGAGAAAACATACATTTATAATAAACGTTACTCAGGATTTTTATATTTCAATTTTTCTATATCGTTGTGTTATCAAACACACACTCTTTACTTCTAGAGTTATTATTATCATATTATTATTTTTTCAACGGGACCCTGGCGACAAATGCCAGAGTTACAAAATGGCGACTAAAGTTATTGGCAGGTGCTTGTCAAAAGTGCTTTGATGGATATCTTGGTGTAGAAGTACGTATTGTTCACCTTACATTGACACCTGATGAACAGATTTTAAGAACCAACTAAAATGTTATTTATTGTTTAAATGTAGACCACAAATTACTTTCTTTGAGATTGTTTTTGCAAAGTCACAGTGAGTATTTCTTTGGCTTTCTGAACTTAGTATCTAGGGCCTTATCATGCTAATGTAGCCGAGAGCCACGATGGAATCCTACAGTCAAGACATAACCCTACATCAGTGGCGAGAACACCACCTTCATAAATCCTATTCAGACTGTGGTGGCCGATTACCCTCGTATTTTTTAAAAATATTTCCCGTGAGTTTGTGACTGAAAGTTTAATATCACCGTACTCCCATATAATTTCCCTATGTATATACACTTACATGTCATAATTTTATTACCACAACTTGAGGTAATAACAGACCGGTAACCCATTCACTTCATGTTCCGATGGTAGCGTAGGTCGATGCTTATGTCAATCACTGGATTGTCTGGTCCAAACTCAATTATTTATGGACCACTGGAACATTGCCGAGTGTGGCGTTGAGCAACAAAACTTATATGATGTAGGCATCATACACAGCTTGGTTTTTCAAATCATGTTGATCATTATTAATTATTCAATTTTTGCTGGTGCTATTTACATGAATAATTCTCTGAATTATTACTCTGTGATCATGGTGATTGTAAAAACATAGTGATTGAAGTTTTACATGAAAAAATACCCCTCTCTCTGTATATTTGTGAATGCACTTTAAACAAGCCCAAACATGCTATATTTGTACTTGCATTCTTTTCAGGACATCAGCTTAAGGGGATGGTGATAAAACAATATGGATAAAAACAAACCCCCATCCATTGAAGAAGTCCGACAAAGGCGACTGGCATACTTCCAAAACACTTCCCACGAAGCTGACCCTGCGGCTGGTCAGGATTCAGACAAACAACAGAAACATGGACCAGGCGATAAAATTCGCAATAAAACAGGATCAGAGAGTTTCAATAACTTGGGAGAACATGATTCTCTCAATAAGCAGGCTTCTGTGCCAAATACAAGATCTACGAAGGGTGTCAGGACCCTTAGAACAGGACCAGAGAATTCCAATTTGTTGGGACAACATGATTCTCTCACTAAGCAGGCTCCTATGCCAAATACAAGATCTACGAAAGGTTTGAAGACCAGAGTTAGGCAGGATGGTGGAAATGGGCAGCCTGGTAAAAAGTACTCTGGTACAAGGACAACTCAAGCAGCTTCTACTGCTGCTGCTGCTGCAGATGATGACATGTTGTCAAAGGACTGGAATTCGCATGTGGAACATTTATTTAGAAAAGGGCATCAGACTGGCCAGGAAACAAAGACATTGTCTAGAGACAATTCTCAGGAACTGTTGCGAGAATCTCAAGATCTTGATGCCATGTCAATGTTTAAGAGTGAGGTTGATTGCCAGGACCTAGGTCTTTCTACACATAGGCCTGACTCTGACCGGCCCAGCTTGGACAGGAATCAGAATAACAATGCAGATTTGATGGAAAATAGTCTTTCACAGGAAATGAAAAATTTGTTAGGGGCGAGCAAGTATCAAGAATTTGTTGAAAAATCTGTAAAAGATATTAATGAACTTTATCAGAACAAGACCACGGAGACTTCACCGCATCTGATCAGATCTTTGATAGAAGAACAAACAGATGTAGAGCACGAGAAGGAAGAGGCCAGCCATGGTCGACCTGAGACAGGTGGACATATGAATAACCATGTTCAGTCTCGCTCACCAAGGCATAGGCTTAATAGACCTAGAAAAGAGCCAGTTCACATTCAGAACCTTGTTGCCAAAACAAAACAAGACTTGGAACTTGAAGGATCAGAATCCTTACCTTCCAGTGCGAAAAACTATGAACAAATAACTGTTGCTCCAAAAGTGACATTTTCAGCAGATGAAATTTACCGCCAAGCTTATGGTTCATCTGGTAGTCAATTACAGCGAGGAATGCCAATCCAAGCTATGTCATACAACCAGACTATGCCCTTTCATCCAGCCATGATGATGAACATGCCATCAGGGAGTTTCCAGGCACCCTCAGTCGGGTTTCAGTCACCTCAGGGGGCTTTCCAGCCACCCCATGGAGGTTTTCAGTCACCCCATGGACATTTTCCTCCTGATTTTACACAGCCTCCCCCAGGAATGCATGGACAGCCTAACCCAGGAATGCATGGGCAGCCTACCCCAGGAATGCATGGGCAGCCTCCCCCAGGAATGCATGGACAGCCCACCCAAGGAATGCATGGGCAGCCTACCCCAGGAATGCATGGGCAGCCTACCCCAGGAATGCACGGGCAGCCTACCCAAGGAATGCATGGGCAGCCTCCAGGACCCTACATGTATGGTGGTCAGCCTGACATGTTTACCCCCCGAACTCCGACAACCCCCACCCCGGCCTCCCCCCACCCTATGTTCTATCAGCCCTACATGACTGATCCTGGCTTCCATGGAGGTTACCAAGGCTATACTAACATGTATCAATCGCAACCATTCTCCCCTCCAGCATACAATACCCAGTATGCCAACTATGTCCCTCCCGTCCATGTCCCCCACCCCCCTCCCCAACCCCCATCAGGCAATGCTCAGCAGCCCCCGGGAGTGTACTACCCACCACAGGTCGTCCCCACAGTGCCACACCCACCCCACCCTCCTAATTCACCTCCTGCTGAGGTGCTGTTGCAGACCCAGAATACCGCAAAAGATAAGTCGTCTAAGAATGTTGAGAGGGCTAAAGCTCGAGACAGGGACAAGCTACAACGCAAGAAGGTGGAAGATGAAAGAGAAGAGGGGACCCCTGCTCCAGATAGACACATAGAAGCCATCAGGATACACCATGAACAAAGGTATGTGTGAGGGAAAAACCATCATAATATGAAAGGTTGGGACACTATATTATTAAAATAAGATCTTTTTATTCCAATACTACCATATTTATTCGTGTATAATACACACTGGATGTGTAGACTCATCAAAAATGAAACAGAAGAAAATATTATCATTGTTGCTGTGGATAATGTGATTTGGCGCTGTCACGGTATGAGGTTAAGCAGACCCTATGGAACAGGGGAAACGGAAGTATCACAGGGGCACGATTTTGCTGAAATTTAGGTAAACATCATTGAATTGAATTTTAAATAAAATTAATAAAATCAAGCATAAGGTCAGATATACAGTGAGCACATATTTATTTCCAGATTGTGTAACCACAGGATTAACTTGTGTAATTGATTTGTTGATATGCTATTTCCGATGGCGGATCAGAAAAGCCTGTATATAGTAAAGTAATATACACGAATAAATACCGTATATCTCTGTGCGTGAAGATCTGATGACACTTGCAAAGGAGGTTGCGTCTGATAAACTTTATGATGTGTTTATTAGATCATCTCGAAAATGAAATATATCAACCAGTTCCAAATGTAGATAATTAATACTGCATGATTTAATTGTCATTACTGAGACCAATCGCATCTTCACCCAAAGATTATATACTGAACCACAAAAGAAACGTCACCATGGATAGATATATAAGAAACCTTATTTGTCCAAACACTGTAAACGTACTTTGAGACATATTAGAAAGATGAAACTTGGCAAAACTGATCATCAAGGTTGAAATTAAAGTGTCAAATGTTCTTAATGTGAAACACAACACTAGTCTCTGAAAAAATGGCATCACAAGTCAGTATCTCATGTGTCCGCCACGTGCGTTTATGACTGCCGTGCAACGTCGATACATGGAATGGATGAGGCGGTTGATGAAGGCCATAGGCACTTGAGCCCACACTCCTGAGAAACGCCTGACACAGTTCAGCTGCAGTTGTCGGCCTTGGTCGGATGTCATTCAGCCGTCTTTGAATCTCTTCCCACTGTCTGAAGTCTCTTGTTGCTCACACAGTGTGGGCACGGGCGTTATCATGCTGAAACTTGTGGTTGCAGCAACGTGCCAAATGAGCAGTCGCAGGCGTAACGTGTACGCGAGAAGGCTCTGCCGTCTCTTGTACGCGAGACGGGTGCGGTCAGCAGTACTCAGCGAAGCGCTTGATACTAATTAATTCAATCACCGTGGCTGTGCTGTCACTCGCGACCTCCGCGAAAGTAATTAAAGCGCTTTGTAAAATCATCCACTGCCAAGAGGGACCACAATCCACCCAAGGTCGTGACTGTCGGGTCGCGTGTGCATCGAGGCATCCGCCTTCCTATTTTCACATACCCTATTTTCGAACAGGTAAAACATGTCATCATGTCATTCTGGACTGGATACACTTGAAAGTGTACACGTTGAAGCTAGCGACCAGTTATCGCCAGAGGTATGGCGTGAGGTCTCAAGAGTTGATCAATGTACCGAGCTACTGTGACACCATTGCCTCTCCCTGGACCAATGTTCTGGAAGACCACAGTGCAGACCCTCTGTGCACGACCAATTCCACCCCACACCATGATGCTCAGACCACCCCACGAGTCTCCCTCAACAACACAAGTATCTGAATAACGTTCCCCATGGTGTCGCTAGACTCTCTATCTGCCATTTGCTGTTGAGATACAGTAACGGCTATCGTCTGAGAAGAGTACACTTCTCCACTGCTGGTGGCGCCAATGCTGATGCTGTGTTGCCCACTGAAGACGGTTCCTGCGATGATATGGTGTCAGAATGGGTCCTCAGTGTGGCCTGTGACAGTGGAGGTGTCTGCTCGTCAATTGTTGACACACAGTGTCCGCACTAATGTGTCGCTGGTGTGTCACCATGGTCTGTCAAGCAGTTTCCGCTGCAGTAACAAAGCAATCTTGAAGATGCTGTCACACAATCTGAGGATCCTGACGTCGGGTGGCGACCCTTGGCCTTCCACTACGTGGTCGGTCATCTGTAGTATTGGTGGTCTGGTACCGATGCTGGAGCCTGTATATGGTCCTTACGTGGACTTGAAATGTATTGGCTACTTGCCGGGCGGTTTGTCCAGCTTTGCAAGCTTCCAAGGGCTTGGTGTCGCTGATTTCTTGTCAATCTTGGCATGTGGTAGCAATTCAATAATGAATGAATGTTATCCGATCTGGGTGGATTTTTATAGGGCAAGAAATGTGGGAACGCATGTGCATTTGAATTTGAACGGAACTCACATGCATTGGGTTACCATGGCTGTTGCCGTGATGCTTTTGGGTGATCGGTTTTATTGTCATCTGCTTTGTTTTTTTATCATCCAATTTCATTTTTCCGGACAAGGTAATGTTAAATTTGAGAAACTTTGACAAAAATTTCCCAGATATTTAAATGACAACTTTTCATGCAATGTAACTTGGGGTGACGTTTCTATTGCGGTTTAGTATAGTAGGCCTTGAGCACCCCAATGCTGGTTGGGAGAGGCTACTAAAGTGGATTGGATGGTCAGTACCTGTCATCATGCCCCAATGGCATGGATCATTACTGGGTCGTCTGGTTCAGACTTGAATATTTACATGCTGCTGTGATATAGCTGGAATATTGATGACTGGGGTGGTGTAACAAGAACTGATCTCACATTTCATAAAGTCTTGTTTTCACATTTGTTTCAGACGCCAGATGCAAGAAGACAAAATGAATGAAGTTTTTCACATGGAGAAACAGAAGAAGTTTGCTCAGGCATCTTTAGACAGGTACTTCTCTTCCTTGGAAAACATATACAGGCCACCCACCTCCCCTCAAGGCAGTCTCCCACAGACTGAAGAGGAGGCTGAGGAAACCCCAGATGAAGAACCTGAAGATGGAGAAGCAGTTGATGATGCTGGGGATGAAGATGCAGTTGATGAAGACGCCTTCACTAGCGTCACTGCCACCAGTGTCAAGGCTGGTGGAATCACGGACAGACTTGAAAGACTTGGGATAGATGTTGCTCACATCAAGTCCAAGGATGCTGTTAACGAAGGTGACGAGGATGACAAGCAGAAGAAGCGCAAGAAGGTGAAGGTCTGTCCTGCATGTGCGTCCTGGAACAAGGAATACATGTCTTGGTGTGCTGACTGTGGGGAAATATTGATCGGGGTGGAGTCCATTGTAGCAAAGAGGAAGGAGAGAAGAAAGGATAACGCAGACAGGAAGGACAGAACAGAACATGTGGAGGTTAAATCTGAAAACCCCACTGAGCAAGCAGGTCCTACAGTGTCTACACGAAAAAGCATTTCCATTTCGCCCGAGATCCTGTCCTATCGACACGACACAGATATGAAGGTGAGTGTGACGAAGCCAGCCCAGGTGGATAGTCACATGAAACAGCTGGAGCGAGTCAAGCGAGAGATGGCAATACCAACCACAGGCTCAGGTGCTACTGGTAATTATATCCGATCTCCTAAAGAAATTAATGATCTTTGTGAAGTTATCAGTGATCCAGTAATCAGAGGCTTCATCAAAAACTATTTCAGTAGAAAAGCCAAAGCCGATGATGACGTTGAAGCCGAAACAAGTGATGGGAAGGAACAGGAGGTTGATGTAGTAACACCCAAGGCTGATGTTGAACCTGATCTCTCAGATGGCGAGGTTATTCTTAACCTCCAATCATCCGAAAGCTTTGACTCTCCACCACCCAAGCATCAAAAGAGCAGAAGCAACAAATACAAGAACCACGGCGATATAGATGTCGAGATTTTTGACATCCAAGACAGCCGGGAGTCTCGAACAGCCAGCCGCAATGCCCCGGTGGTTCCATGTCTCGACCTCCATGACAGTAGTGATGACGAGGAGGTCATTAAAGCAAGGAGGCTGGCAATGAAAACTATGCCAATCAGCTTCTCCATTGATACAGATGACTGGTCTTCTGTGAACGAATCACAGCAACTCAATCCTGCTGAAGAAAGCCCAGATCTCCCTCTTGAAGCACTTCCAGAAACGGATGGTCTGGGGACCCCAGGGGGAGATAACTCGGACGAAGGAAATCCTTCACAGGACCCCTGTTTCCTTGCCCATATCCTTGCCATGAGAAACAATTCCAGCAGGTCAGAACGCCAGCGTCCTCAAAGTGCAGATCTTCTTGACAGGAAGAGAATGACTCAGAGTATTGTGCGAGAGTCTATTGAAGCCAAGCCCTACCAGCGGCACTGGGAAAAGTCGAGTATTGCATGGTCATCGTTTCACCCCCGGGAGCTGAGCACGAGGTCCTCAATGAAGAACTTCATGATGCAGGACCCCCGAGTGAAGTGTTCCACCAGCACGGAGAACATGGCGACAGCAGAGACACGGAGGCCTGATGGAAGGGGTGCGGCGCAGACGCACAAAAAGTCAAGACCAGCAAGTGCAGACCTGTATCGGAGGTGAGCGAAACTATCGTATGTTAAATAAATGTGCAGAGTACATGTTGAAGATATTTTCTTCAAATATATATTTCGTCTTATTCAGATATTTATTAGAAGAGGAACTATCACTTGATGAACTGTACAATTTCACGATAATGAGAGACCAATCTCATTAAAATCAGATCTTAGTTCTCGCTACCGCTATACAAAGATCTGAGGACATCCCATTAGGGGTCACATCAGAACGACCTTTCATCTGATTTTAATGAGATTGATGAGTGACAAAAATGTTAGCTACAAGTGATGAAGATGGTGAAAACTCTTCAGAAATGTTCAGCAACTCATGCTTGCCATAAAAGGCAACTATGTTTGTCGTAAGAGGCGACTTACAGGATCGAATGGTCAGGCTCACTGACTTGGTTGATGCATGTCATTGTATCCCAATTGCGTGGATCAATGCTCATGTCAGTCACTGGATTGTCTGGTCCAGACTCAATTATTTACAGACCACTGTCATATAGATGAGTGCGGCATTAAACAACAAACAAAACAAAATTCAGAAATGAAGCTATTGTGGCAAATGGGTCCAGGCTATTGATCACAAAAGAATAGAGATGTGTTATGCTAGATAATAGAGGATGTATTCATCCCAGGACAATATTGAGACATGTTTTTGTAAAACAGCACCTATCAATGTCTTTGTGTTTGTTCAGGAAAGTGCAATCCAGTATGCGGCCCGCAAGTGCCCAGGTGAGAGGGAACCACCAGCCCCGGGTGAGGGACACTGATCCCCCTAACCTCAGCCCCTCACAGACCAGCGTCATTGCCCACAGACTGCCCCAGGAGGACCATCAGCCACCCATGGCCAGGACACTGCAGGGTGAGTATATACACACTGTGTGAGCACTCATAACTGCCCTAGCCTTGATGTCATTGTGGAAGTACAGTGTTCTACCAATGGTTAGTCTGCCTCTGTATTCATTGCTATAAGGCTGCTCAGGTGGCCCAGCCGAATAAGGTGCTGCAATTTGCTGTGCAGAGTTGTGTCCCTTAGGCATGCCAGAAACCTATTGTCATGGGTTAAATCAGAGATTTGCCCTGATCATGTAACTTGTTTGTCTTTGTTTTGTTCGTTTGTTGTTTAATGCCCTAGTAAGCAGTATCCAAGCTATATGATAGTGGTGGATCAGTGTTCAAAGTTAAGCTTTAAAGCAGTTTTCAAAGTCATTGTCAAACCCCTATGTGAAAAAATAAAGACTTAAATTCTGATTCAAGGGGGGCACATGTCGTCCAGTCGTCTAAGGCGCCACGATTCACTGTGCAGAGTTATGTCCCTTGGGCACGCCAGAAACCTATGGTTGTGGGTTCGAATCCCGGTTCGCCCTCGATTATGTTTCTAGGTTTATCAGCGCCATACCCATGCTCGTTGGTTTCACCGAAATGGTAAACGTCTGAGACCTGCATCACGTCAGGCTTTCCTCCCACAATAAGCTGACACGCAGCGATATAACTGGAATACTGTTAAAAATAGTGTTAAACCCAACTCACTCACTCACTCTGATTCAAGGACCCCTGGACCCCTTTAATTTTGAACACAGGCAATGCTCAGCAGCCCAGTGGACTGTTGCTTCCCTTAGCTTTGCCTCATGGGTACAATGTTTATCATGAATATTGCTAAAAACGCGTAAAAGTTATTCTTTATTCAGTGATGTTATGCGCAATGGATGATATGTCATCACTTGTGCATAGATGTGTGGTCATGGATTCGGCCTATTATGTGTCGAGGTTTGTCAGCACCATCCCCAAAGGCTTTTCTCCCATGTAAAGCTGACCGCTAAACCCAACTCACTCACTGTCAACTAGGGAGATGTCCGTCTATGACAAATCCATTCATCCACCAGACTGTACCAGAATGATAGTCAAATATTTCAAATATTAGCTTAGTTATGAAGTGTTGTTCTCCCTGTTACAGGCCCCTCCGCTGCCATCACTGCCTACAACATGTACATGGAGATGGTATGTATCTCAATATGGCTAAAGATGGGAGATTCAGGGGCAGTGCTATTCACTCAACAGAGTCCTTTGATTGTTGGTTCGAATCCTAGATCACCCTGATTTTGATTCTTTGTTGGTCAGCACCATACCTATTCTTATGGCTTCCAAAAGTGATAAACATCTAAGATATGCATCACCATGGACTTTCCTCCCACATTAGTTGACACACCGTGATGTGAGTATAGGAGAAGACATGCCTCCAAAGTTTTGGTTGAAAATGTAAAACACGAGGGAGAGGGAGGGGTAATGTTTGCTCTTGCTTATAAACCGTCAGAAGAGTTAAATTTAAACACAAAAAATCCAATCCAGGTCTTACTGGGAAAAATAAAACGTCATACCCGGGGTGAGGTCTTACTAGGAAAAAGTAAAACGTCATACCAGTGATGAGGTCTTACTAGGTAAAACCTCATACCAGTGATGAGGTCTTCCTCGGAAAAAGTAAAGCCACATACCAGTGATGAGGTCTTACTAGGAAAAAGGTAAAACCACATACCAGTGATGAGGTCTTACTAGGAAAAAGTAAAACCTCATACCAGTGATGAGGTCTTACTAGGAAAAAGTAAAACCACATACCAGTGATGAGGTCTTACTAGGAAAAAGTAAAACCTCATACCAGTGATGAGGTCATAATAGGAAAAAGTAAAACGTCATACCCAGGAAGAAATCTTACTAGGGAAGAATATGTAGGAAGATACCTACAATACAATAGGCAAAAATGGCATCAGGTTTATAAATACTGTTCAAGGCAGCGTTAAACCCATCTCTACGAATACAATTGAGTGCCTCCAAAACTACAGATTACACAGCTAGAGATATTGACACAGTAGTGGGTTTATCTCCTTAGTCACACGGGCACTCTATACATGACCTCGCAGTACCATACGATGCACTAATGTCCCCCTTCCCCCGACAGACACCACGTATAGAGGAGGGGGAGTTCTCCAAGTGGCAGTGTCTGCCGGATGAGATCTGGCTCTACATCTTCTCCTTCCTACCACATAGTGACCTTGCCCGGATGGCGCGAGCCTGCAAACAGTTCTGTCGCATCTCTGTGGATGACAGCCTCTGTGAGTCATCACTTTGTCATTGTGTGTACAGAGTACCGCCCTAGTCCACTAGACAATTGAATAAGTGAAATTTGTCTCAATTTTTTTAAACTTGATTGAGGTTTTATGCTATTTTATGCAACAAGCAGGTGAATCAGCTTTGTAAAATAACTATGAATTGTGCTATGAGAATCAGTGAAAGACACTGCATAATCTAAGGTAGATACTGTGACATTTATGAACGAAAATGAAGATATCACAATCTTCCTGTGTATGATGCAAGATGTTTCGGCTGCAGGGAAGCACATCACTGTGAAGAAGAACCATGCTATTTGTGATCAGTGGCTGTCCCAGATCGCCATGAGGCACCCAGTCTCACTGGCACTCATCCAGTGTCACGGCGACAACGTCACAGGTAGAGGCCTACGAGAGCTCTTCAGGGAATGTACAGACAATCTGAAGGTGGGTTTCGTGGATGAATAAGGGATACAGCTCAATCTGAGGTCTGTTGTTGAATAACTCTTGGCTCTAGCCTTAGGACCAGTGCCTTGTTTCATTAAACTTGTTGACCCGTGAGGATCCGGGGTAGAATAGGTCTTCAGCAACCCATGCTTGCCATAAAAGGCGACTATGCTTGTAATAAGAGGCGACTAACGGGATCGGGTGGTCAGGCTCGCTTACTTGGTTGAAACATGTCATCGAACCCAATTGTGTTGATCGATACTCATGACATTAATCACTGGATTGTCTGGTCCAGACTCGATTATTTACAGACCGCGGTCATATAGCTAGAATATTGCTGAGTGTGGCGTTAAACAACAAACCAACCAACCATTAAACTTGTTATTGAGATTTGTTGTTTCTATTTTAATTTGGTATTAAAGAAGTGTATATTATTGCTGAATTATTCACAGAATTTTTAAATTTTACTGCAGAATTTTATCTGTTTGAATTTTGGGAAATGTTTTTACCGATATTAGACATATGTGGAGGGGAAGAGTCATTGGGTTATCCAGCTAGTCCACAACTCATTTTGGACTAACTCATTTACATCACCACAGATAAACATGACAAGATTAGGGAAGAGAAAACTTGAACATTGGATATTGTTTTGCTCCATCGAACCTGTCTAAAATTGATTTTTAAACTATTTCTGTGTTGGTGATTGCTTGCATCTTTTTGCAGGGATGAGAATCTTCCGTGGATTCACGAATTTCCACGAATTTTAGTGACCACAAATTTGTTAAAATCTGATAGCTTTCCCATAAACACCCCCAAATTATGGACCACGCTCCATTGCAAAGAAATTTCACTTGAAAAGGAAAATATCCATAATTATCCTTGCTTATGACATGAAACACTGTTTGTTGCATGATGATGAAATAAAAGGATACTGTTTTGTGATGCCTGTCTGTCAGCATGGTCAGGCTTGTGCTATGAGTCATGAAGTCATGTTTTGTGTCCCAGGAGCTGAACTTCAGTCGGTGCAGTCGTGGAGGTCTGACCGGTGACAGCATCTTGCTACACGCCTCGGCGCGGTGTCGTCACCTGACACACGTCGACGCTAGCTGGTGTCATGTCACCGATAATGGCCTCACAGCTCTGTCGGAGAGTGCACACAGGTAGGTTGACCGGAGATTTTGTTCGATATAGTTGACCGAGGTAAAATTATCTCGAATTGCTAAAATGGTTAGAATTATCATTAAACCGCCTGCATGTTATCAAAAATGAGCGGGCCACTGTAACTTGATAATGCCCTCATATTGCTTGACGACGGGCCATTATCACGCCTGTTGTTATTAAAGCATTTTTGAAAATCCAAAGAGGGCTTTTATAATAATACAGATGCTTTGAGTTTGAGCCTTTGTTGCAGGCTGGAGTCGCTGTGTCTGAATGGCTGCCAGATGCTGTCTGATGAGGGTGTGGAGACAGTCATCAAGAAGCACGGATCCAGGTGGGTGTGGCACCTGCAGGACTTGATGTTTACATGGGGTCTGAAAAAACAAAAACAATTTGTTGTCAATTTTACACATATGAACCAACTATGACAGTGAGGACACGAGTGGCCCAGTCACAATTCACTGTGCAGTTGTGTCCCTTGTGTATGCCAGAAACCTAGGATCATGGGATGGAATCCCAGGTCCGCTCTGCTTATGTTTCTAGGTTTGTCAGCTCCATATCCATGCTTGTTGGTTTCATCAAAGTCGTAAATGTCTAGGATCTACATCACTTCATTCTTTCCCATCTCATCAAGCAAGAAGCAGTGTAAAACTCAACTCACAAAGTCACTCCCGGTTCCTGTTTCAAATATTTTTATCCATGATCTTGTAGATATTCCCGACTTTTAAGTGGCTTTATTTTATTTAAATTGTGTGGGTCATACCAAAAATGTGAAGCCAGATGCCAATGTATTCACTCAGATTAAGAGTTTTGTCCCAGCAAAGTAAACCCAAATTGCATCTTTAACAAAATAGCTGTCAGTGAAAATGAATTTCTTGTAGCATCCTTAATGGAATTATCTTAAATGCTGTATTCGTGTGTCCAGTCTTCGAGTGCTGGAGCTGTTCGGCTGCTTCAACCTGACTCCACGCTGCATCCGCTGCATCGCCACCCACTGCACCAACCTCCTCACCATCAACCTCGGACAATGCTTCCGGGTATGTACATTTAAACCCTCAAGAATGAGGTGCTCCTGCTGATGTTGAATCCTGAACAGCAGCTGCTACACTCAGTGTTCACCAACAGTGGAGTGACTGGGGGACGTCAGTAACTCATGCTTGTTAGGCCTCTATATACAGTGTCATCGTACCCTGATGATGTGGATTGATGATTCATATAGTTGATATATTTGCTGACTATGGCATTAAATAACATTCAGTCACTCACTCACATGTAGACCCCCGTCATGTTTGGAGTATGTCACACAGTTAGGATGCTGGTAAATAATGCATCTTTCTGTTCCTTGTCATCCAAACAATAATGAAACTACTGATATCTCTCTGAGAAAACAGGACAACTTTTGATACGAAGTAGTAGCCACAGTAAGTGTAGCTGAATACAACAATCAACATGGCAAATATGTCAAAATGTTGTCTATACATGCTATTATTGTTATTCTTCTGACAGCGGGGTCAGCTGGGTATCTTAGTGCTACACTCAACGTACCTACTGGATGGTTTCAATTCCAATTAGTGGTACATTTTTTGTGTCCCTCCAATATTGCTTGAATATTGCTAAAAGTGGTGTGAAATCATACTCATTCACTGTTGGTTGTATAATTGTTTAAATTGATACGCGCATGTTTTCCAAAGAGGGCTATTCAAGTCGCCTATGGGCTAAAGCATGCGATTCTTCAGATGGATACAATGTGTGCATCTTCCCGAGGCAAGAGAGTTAACTGACTTTAAAAGTCCAGTTTCCACCCTTGCCGAACTTGGCTGGAATTCCTGGGCTCGATCTTAGTGGCACGAATTTGACTATGCATAGACTCGTTAGTCCAGCCAAAATGAAACTCCATAATACCAGCCTAGTCTGGCAAGCGTGGAAACTGGACTTTTATAGTCGGTTAACTCTCTTGTCTTGGTGTATGCAATTAATGATGACGCGCTATGGTGTATGCAATTATTGATGATGCACTGTGGTGTATGCAATTATTGATGATGCACTATGGTGTATGCAATTATTGATTATGCACTATGGTGTATGCAATTATTGATGATGCACTATGGTGTATGCAATTATTGATAACGCACTATGGTGTATGCAATTATTGATGATGCAGTATGGTGTATGCAATTATTGATGATGCACTATGGTGTATGCAGTTATTGATGATGCACTATGGCGTATGCAATTATTGATGATGCACCATGGTGTATGCAATTATTGATGGTGCACTATGGCGTATGCAATTATTGATGATGCACTATGGTGTATGCAATTATTGATGATGCACTATGGTGTATGCAATTATTGATGACGCACTATGGCTCAGATATTGCCATGTATGGGGTCTTAGCAGTGTAAAGCCCTCTCACTCCTCCCCATCTGTAGTCATGGTAACCCTTTGTTTGTGTCCAGCTGACCGATTCCTCCATCACACACCTGTCTGCCAGCCTGGGACGAGTGGAGAACCTTGACCTTCGGGGGTGTAAGCAGGTAGGTCACTTCTTTTTCCCTCACTTCATTCTCCCAGCTGTCCCAGAGCTGCCTACTTGTAGGAACTTTGCAGATTCTGTATGCTAAAAATTGAAATACTATGGTTATACGCCCTACATACTTCATTGTGTATCCAAGGAATTTTATGACAATAATAAAAAATTGTTTTATTGTTCATTCTGTGCTGTTTAATGCAGTCCTTTGTGACTAGGTTGCTGTCTATAAACAGCAGTAGCATTTGTAAGCACTATCCTTATTATGCCTTTTCGGCAACTATGCTGGTCAAAAGAGGCGACTACGGGATCGGGTAGTCAGGCTCGCTGACTTGGTTGATGCGTGTCATCGTATCCCAGTTGCGTGGATCGATGCTTGTGATGTAAATCCCAAAGGGAAGTAACTCTATCAACAAAACACAGTGTCATGTTCCACACTCAGAAAAGGTTTATCATTGTAGAGTCTCCTTGACAGGAGAATAAGACTATTGTATTCTAGAGGAAAGTTTACTTGTAATTACCCAAAATGATTACTATCTTGGAGATGTTTCTTGGTGAATTGGAGATTTTGTACCAAGGTAAAATGTGATATTTTCTGTCATTAATAATGATTTCAGGTGGCACATAAATGCATTGCTAGCATCAGTTCAAGTGTTGCATGTTTCTTTCCAGATACGGGATAACTGTATAAGGAAGATAGTGCGGAACTGTCCTCGCCTGAAGACAATCATCATTGCCAACTGCCCCCATGTGTCAGATGCAGCTCTTGTCGAGATAGCCACATACTCAATGGATGTGCGGTAAGCTCAGCACCAGAAATTACCTCCCTTTAATCCCCATGCTCCAAGCTCCTTCATGGAGTGTGACACCTTCGTTACACTCTCGGTAAACCGCTGCCACCAGTGTTGGCGCAGCCATTACAAGAATTTTGAAATTTCCCCTCTAACCCCAAATGTAGTAATGTTTATCCTTTTGTTTATGTCTTTGGGAATGCAATCATGGGGAATTTTGAAAAGGTTTACGACTGACCAAATTTCACAGATGATTTTTAATTTTTGTTTGTTTGATCAGATTGGTTCGAGATTGCAGATGAACAGAACACCCAACATCCCCCTTACGTTCTTACTCTACCAATTATACCAATTACCCGTTGGAATGAAATAGAAATTCAAATTGACCAACAAAAAATATAATCAAGCAGGGGTAAGAGTATTCAGCGTCACAGCAGTCATCACTTGTTTGTAAACATAATGGGTTGGCTGCAAGTTCCACTCCAAGCATGGTTGTAGCCACTGGATTGTCTTGTCTTTATTGACCGCCATCATATAGCTGGAATATTGCCGAGTTATATTGCTAAACAACAAACAAACAAACACAAATCAATGATGTGCACTATTTTTGTCCATCTTCAGGAGTCTGGACATCTGTGGATGTCGCAATGTGACGGATCACAGCATCCGGACCCTGTCAAACAACTGCCAGCGACTCACCCAGCTGGACATCAGCTCATCTGGGTGTTCTCACCGCAGGTAAGCAGACACAGTAGCTGTAGTGCACACTGTCATCAAGAGATGGCTCAGCAGAGTTACCTCCCTTCTTGGGTGAGGATACGCTCGCCATGATGTCGAGCTGTGTTACCCAGGTATACATATGAGGTAACAAGGACCTGTTCACCATGGAATCCAATATGGGGTGTTGTTCTGTGTTGTAAAGTGCTCTGACAGCCAACAGAAGTCCCAGGTGCTCTGATTATCATCTTTAGTTTGTCAGCACTATCAGGCTGCTGTGCTTAAAGGTTTAACCAAAGTACCTGTACAACATTGCTTCCCACATTAAATTAACATATTTTCTTGTGTATAATACGCAGACAGTGACTTGCGAAACTGTCCATATCCAAACAAATATCCTAAATACTAGGTGCTACACATATGGTTATTATTATTTTAAATTTATTTAGAAAAAGCAGAAACTAAAATAACAATATATTAAATTTTTTTATTCCTAATACGAGTGTAGTTTCGGATACAACTTCTTCTTATCATTGCAATAAAATCTTTTTAGTTTTAATATTGGGTATGCTTTAACTGAATCATTGGTAGAATCTAGATCTGGGAGGAAATGTGTGTACAGCTGATTGCTGAATCCAGCTTATTTTATTGTAAATCATCACATGTAGTGATTTTTGTGTTGCAAATTTCACATTTTCATTTACCAAGTTAATCGCCTGTTCATTCACCTAAAATGCTACGATGTAGTTTTTGACGGTACACAAATATGAAATAGAGATTTTTCCTGGAAACTTGTACCTACGATTAGGGGTGCACATCATATTGGTACAGACAGCCATCAGGGCAGCCGTCATATAGGTGGAATATTGATGATTGCTGCATGAACCGTCACACAAACATCACTCAGTGACGTGCTACAAAGGTCGCTGCAAGCCTACAACACAATTGTGTGGTGTTCCAGTGTGACGCTTCTGGCCAGCTACTGCAACCGCAACCTGGAGACGTTGAAGCTCAACTTCCTTGCTGACATCACCGAGGTCTGCCTACAGAAACTGGTAAAGAACTGCAAGAAGTGAGTACTTCCACGTCATAGAGACGCTCTCAAATACGATCTGGGGTAGTATCGATAATTGTACACCCTATCATCATGTGTTGGGTGGAGTAAATGAATCATCATCATCGTCATCATCATCATCATCAGGGGTGGTCGGGTAGCCTAATGGTTAAAGCGGTCGCTCATCACGCTGAAGACCCGGGTTCGATTCCCGACATGGGTACAATGTGTGAAGCCCATTTCTGGTGTCCCTTGCCGTGATATTGCTGGAATATTGCTGAAAGCAGCGTAAAACCATACTCACTCACTCATCATCATCATCATCATTTGGGATGTATTTCTACTTGTAAACACGATACTTGCATTCTTTCCCCAGATTGAAGACACTTCACCTGTATGGCTGCACCAGTGTCCGGAGTATCGACAAACTCAAGCAGCTTTGTCCCTTCCTCCATGTGGAGATGTGATCACTCGGACAATCAGTGCAACATGGGATGTTTACTGCTGAACATAGGATGTTTATTATTGGAATCTGATGTTAATTTCAGATGTTAACTGATGAACATAGTATGTTTATTATTGGAATCTGATGTTAATTTCAGATGGTAACTGAAGAACAACTGATGTTTATTATTGGAATCTGATGTTAATTTCAGCTGGTGTTAAATGATGAATTATTGATGTTAACTTATGAACAGCTGATGTTGACAGCTGATGTTAACTGATGAACACATTATGTTAACTGATGACGACCAGTGAAGTAATGAAGACCTGGAACATGTGTTAAATGACTGTGTGCCTTTGGACTGTTAGATGACCTGGTCATCAAAAGCATGCTGGGGTAAATGAGAGTGATAGACCTCAGAAAACGGAATGGGATTTACAGTATTTATTCCTTGAAGGAAGATCATCTCAAGAAATTTATATGCAACATACTAACAAAATGCTTCTGTCCAGCGTAGGACATTTATCAAATTTTGTTAGTATTGAATTACTTTGACATTATCAGGATACAAAGTTATCCTTGGCTGTGAAATATTGAACTTTTTCTTCTTAATGTGTTTTGCAGTGTATGTTTTATAGGTGATATTTACGAATATATCAAATACTCACTGTAAATACATAGGTGACAAAACAAAACAATCATGTATATGAATATGGAAGTATGTGCTTATTAAGATCAGGAATATAAACCTTCTATAACTTACCACTGAAACATGGACGTATCGAATATAGGCATGATAGGAGACTTCCCTTTGACGCTGAACTTATTTCTGTGAAATTTGATCAAAACTGCCACATTTAGCAAATTAGGTATGTTTTTCTTTTAACATCTGCCTTAATCGGAATGTCATATTATGAAGTGGCAATATTAGGCTTAAAAAATAAAAGAATTGGTTCTCAAGCAATGACTTTTGAAAATATAGTGTGGGCGGGCGGTGTTTTTGTGTCTGTTTTTTTAGCTTGTTCAAACTAGTAGGTAACCAAATAAGGCAAAGGGCCTCCATACATTAACAAGCATACAAACTCCTATTGCTGCCATGACCATAACACATGATGCGCAGTAAAGCAGTGCGCATGTACGGGGAAGTAACGGCACACTGTTTTTGATCACATTGTTATTAAGTATTAGGATTTTTTATTTGTTTTTGAAAATAGAAATAAAAACGAAACGTGCGTCAGACTTTATGATGATGCGGGTGATGCCTGAGAACCAAGAGTATTATTGTTACTGCCTTATGGCAATATCTTTATTAAGTGACAGGTGATGGGGCAATCTAGTGTTTAAAGTGTTGCTCATCATGTCAAAGGTTCAGGTTTGATTCCACACATCTGTACAATGTGGGAGTCCAGTTCTGCCGTAATGTTGCTGGAATATTGCTGAATGTGGTGTAAAACTCTACTTACTTGCTGTTGTCATTCAGTGAATGACATTTCAAGACATCCCAGTCTAAAACATCCCATCTTCCCGAGGCACTATAAAAGTCCAGTTTCCACCCTTGCCGAACAAGGCTGGAATTCCGGAGTTACAGTTTGGCCTGACTAACGAGTCTATGCATAGTCCTATAAAAATCGTGTAACGAACTAGACATCCAGTTCGTAAACACCATGGATTTCAATGTGCAGATTTGGGCCGACTGCAGGATTTGCAAAGCATGTGTACAGCCAACTGGGCATCGACAGATATTTTGCAAATCTTTTCATGTTTTTATCAAGGTGCTCAAGTGATTTGATGCACTTTGCGGGGTAAGACCTGTTTTATAAAATATAGATATTGATTACCGATCAGATCGTTTTGACAGGGTGCCACCATTTTGTTTGAAGCAAGTGATATGAGTGATGGCATTGTATTGGTAATAGGAGGGACATAGAAGGGACATAACTCTTAATAGCCACTGGTGGTGCGACATGGAAATTCCAGCGTAGTTCGGCAAAGGTTGGAACTGGATTTTTATAGTCAGTTGATGCCCTTGCCTCGGAAAGATGGAAGCAGCCCAGCCCAGCCCAGCCCATTTGAAATGATTGACTAATATAAGATATAAGTTGGTAGTATATCAGTTATATTTGTCAAATATCAAAATTATTTGATTTCAGTATACTAGAATGATATTGTGTAATCTGATGTTGAGTGAATATGACATGTTATTAAGTATGATTCAGTATTGGAGATGAGGTGACATCAATCACTTGTTTCATCCTGGTTTTGTGTTTTTGTTCTATGCTTATTATACGATCATTCAGGAAACTACTTCCCTGAAAACTGTAAATAGCCAGTATTTATATTTGTACAATACAAGTAATTTATTGCTTTTTGTACTGTTGATTACATTGTTGTATAGAATAAGTGTTGAAGATTATTAAGGACAACTGCCATCAAGGGCCACATTCATGGCATGTCTTTATAAAATGTGATACTGCTTCTACCATGTCTACAACTGTTGTTTACAAACATTTTGTAATATATACACACACTAATGGTGACAGTTTGATACATATTTTTTGTCAGTGTAATATTGCCTTTCCGTGTTGTACAGTCAAAGTGTATGGTCTGTTTTGGCACATATTTTTCTTTTTTTATCTATTTAGGATTGTTACTTGTTTGAGAGTTTATGGCTATGTTGGGCTATGTTTCAGATGTTCTTATATTCCAATGTATATACACTTGTTTCTCATCATGTTTTGAAAAAGAAATAAGTAGGTCGAATTTTAAGTCTTTATTTTATTTTGATATCCCAGTCATTGAAAAAAGAAGTACACAGTTCTAAATGAAACAAGAGTTATGTGAGAGAAGGATGTTTATGTGGCCTTTCTTAGAAAATAGGGAATACAAGCGGTCCAGTCGTCCAAGGCGCTGCAACAATTCCCTGTGCAGAGTTGTGTCCCCTGGGCATGCGAGGAACCTACTATTGTGGGTTTGAATCCCGGTTCGAATCCCGGTTCGCCCCGATTATTTCTAGGTTTTTGTAGCAAAGTGGTAGTTGTCTGAGACATGCATCACTTCGGGCTTTCCTCTCACATCAAGCTGACAACGCCGTGATATAAGCGGTGTTATACCTCTCTCACACACTCACTCCTTCACTAATTCTCACTCACTCACTCACTCACTCACTCACTCACTCACTCACTCACTCACTCACTCACTCACTCACATAGAAAATACATCTTGAGTGACCTTTCGTGTTGTCAGGACAAGTTAACTAAAAATGTGTTACTTCAAATGGGCAATAACTCCACAAATATGGAACCAGTACCAAATTCAGCATGCAAAGACTTTTAGAAAAATAGCTTCAGTGGGGCAGGTGACTTGTCAGAGATTGTGTGGTTATATGACCCGCCCCTTTTTGGGTGGTAATGGGACAGTGTTTTGGGGGACACATGCATGGCGAGTTTGATTCCCGTCCCATATTTTAGCTGTCCTTGATTGCCTGTAACAAGCTTTATTCTTTGCCTGAGACATGTCCTGTGAGTTCAGATGTTAAAATATTGGCACTGATGGCGCTTTACAATCCCTGTAACAGATCCTTACTTACAGTTCCGTGAAAGGCACTGATCCAATGTGTTTGTTGTATGGGTCCAGTGTAGTAGGATTCATCTTCCCGAGGCAAGTGAGTTAACTGACTATAAAAGTCCAGTTTCCACCCTTGCCAAACTAGGCTGATATTATGGTGTTACATTTTGGCTGGACTAACGAGTCTATGCATAGTCCAATCAAAATCGCGCACTGAAATCGAAATCCAGTTCGTAAAGTGTCATGCAGATTTCGGTCCACTGCAGGATTTGCAAAGCATGTTCACCGCTAACTCGTTGTCAACAGATATTTTCTAAATCTTATCCTGCTTTTAATCAAGGTGCTCACGTGATTTGATGCACTTCGCGATGTAAGACTCGTTTTATCACAACATAGATCTTGATTATCAATCAGATTGTCTTGACTGGGTGCCACCGTTTTGTTTGAAGCAAATGCAAGTGATAGGAGAGGTTGAATCTGATTGGTCAATAGGAGAGGCACAGAAAGGACATAATTGTAATAGCCACTGGTGACGCTACGATCGAGCCCAGGAATTCCAGCCTAGTTCGGCAAGGGTGGAACTGGACTTTTAAAGTCAGTTAACTCTCTTGCCTCGGGAAGATGAGTAGGATTATGTCATGATAATGTATTCCAACATGTGCCAGCATCCACAACGTCTCTGTCTGTACTGAGATTATATGTCATGACTTGAATGCTGACACATCGTGGGGGGACTGAATAGTTTATGAAGTGTTGTTAACTCACTCGTAGTCAGTGTAATGATCATGAACCTCATGCAAACAGATGCTATGCAGGGTCTCAGAGTTCCTTGTATTAGTGCCAATAGCACAGTTAAAATTGAATCAAGGTAAAACAGAAATACCATGCCTGAAGGGCCTACTTAGAAAGCAAGGTTTTGTTTCGAACCATGTTATGTCTGGGATAAATGTACTTTCACAAAAAATGGACAAACCCATGGGGGAATGAACATATTAATATGTAGTGAACAAAACAAGTTAGGCATCATGAATAGATTTGGGAAATTATTTTGAAGTGCAGAAGCACACAATTTCATACAGATATAAAAAATAATTCATGAAGCCCTAACCTTTTTGTTCAGTTTATTTAATGGACAGCATGATTCACAAAATAATCTACAAGGGTATTGCCACTCTTACTGAAAAGGTAGGGGGCAGACTGGTTTGTTAATAATCTAGCTCACAGTGAAATAACATTCGCTAAGTTCGAAGATGGATCAACAGTATTGGTCTTGTCACATTTATTGGGTACATCTAATGATAATGGGAGTCCTGTGACAGGCACACTAGAAAGACACACTGTTTCTGTCCCTGCTATGCAGATTTGGTTGCTCAAGCCTCACCTCAGTAAGTGAAGAACAGGGAGTGAAGTACTGTATTGTTACATTATGGATGTCCGCTGGACGATTTATCTTTTTCCTGAGATAAGTATTTTACATCTAAATTTATCTTACTTTCCAGTTAAAAACAAATAAGGGTGTTACTGTGCAGTCTGTTGCGCAGGGTATATTTATTGCTCCTGCACCAAATTCACACTTTACTAGGGGTGGTGTGTTGCTAAGTTGTACATTGATTTGTTGTGCAGCGTTGTGTCCCTTGATTTGTTGTGCAGCGTTGTGTCCCTTTAGGCTTGCCAGAAACCTATGCTTGGATATTCTAATCTCAGATCTCCCTGATTACCGTATTCGACGTAATAAGCGCCCACGGCGATATTTGCTAATATATTGGCTAGTGAACAATCTCAATTAACACCCCTTCCGATTGATCAATGTACACAAGAATTATTTATTCGCACTCGTGTGTTATATAATTAATTATGGGCAATTAAATCCTGGAGAAATATATCAGTCGTATACAAACTTGAACCACGGACCTATATAACCAAGTCCGTGCTTGAACTTATACAAACAAATATTTTTCCAAATGTAACTGTGCAAATTATTTTGCAAATGGATAAATACATGCTCATTTATTATTTGACTCATGTTCATGCAGACATTGCATTTATCATACATGGCTATGACATCCCACTTCATGGTTACAATCCAGCGACATCACATTTACGATTGCTGTTGTCAATATTTGGCCGGTCCTAACGTGGGTATTAGTTCACTTTGATACCTACGAGGGCAAACATCGGGGTACATAAACATCATATGTGCCCTAGGGTTATATCACGTCCCGAGACAACAGTGTATTGTTTCCATCATCCAGACGGCATTGTTGACATCATTCAAATCTTATTGTGATGTGAGTTCGAAATGACGTCACACTAGAAAAGATGTCATAGCTGAAGATTGTTGACGTCATTCGACAAAGTGTGGTTCCGCTGCTGTTGCGACTTGCTGTCCTTACAGGTAAACACTAAAATGTGTCTCTGTATGAAGACATCTTAAGTAATAAATAGAACATTATGTGAGTGTTCATGTTATAATATGTTTACAACACTCGTGCCTAAATTCCGGTATTTAGACACTCGTGTCGGAAACATAGTATGACATGAACATAAATATAACATCCTTGATTTGTTTGATACATGATGCCATATCATTGACAATTTGAGTCTAATGACAGTTTGTTTTGTGCAATGAACACAAGACAACAGCTGACATCTTTAACAAACGCTTGCACAGTGAGAACAGACCTATGATTGTGGGTTCGAATTCCGGTTCCCTCCAATTATGTTTCTAGGTTTGTCAGCACCATACCCATGCTCGTGGGTTTCACCGAAGTGGTAAACGTCTGAGACCTGCATCACTTCGGGCTTTCCTACCACATTAAGCTGACACGCCGTGATATAACTGGAATAATGTTAAAAGCGGCATTAAACCCAACTCACTCACTCACTCACTCACTCACTCACTCACTCACTCACTCACACACACACACACACACACACACACACACACACACACACTCATGAATACACTACAAAACAACCAACAGGGATTTTTGAGTTAATGAGGCAGTTGAAACCTGTGTTGATCTGAGATGTGCAATATAAATGTGATATAAATGCCTTTGTAGACTTACAATATATCTATTCATAT